CTTAAAGTAGAAAAGATTTTGTAAGATTTAGTAATGCCAGGCAAAGGCCCAGTAATGTTCTGGGCGGAGTTGTTTACCCTTCCTACATGAGTCGTTTAAATATTTTTCCACAATCAACACACAAAAAGTTTTGTACCGTGCGGTTTGTTTGTTTTTTGTTGTTGCCTCTCCCTTTAGAGCAAGGGACCAAAAAGCATGTGTGCAGGACACACTTTCACACATTCATGGGTAATGTTGGCTGTGTTTGTTTTAATGTGTGTGTGTGTATTCATTGTTTGTTTGCATTTTTAGCAGTTAAATATTTGCTTAGTAAAGCTGGAGGCGAAAAACAAAAAAAAAATCCATGAAACTGAACTAACTAAGAAAACAAATTTTAAACTTTAGAAAACGTGAGCAAGCCAAGAACCAAATAAAACACACACACAAACATAAATACGTTTCCCCAATCAGAGACTGAAACACACTTTGACCTTTTTTCTCCAACACAAACAAATATAACCAAGAGAAACAATGGGTCACACTTGGCCAAAAAAAATGAAACTTTTACTTAGTAAACATTTAACGAACGAACATTTGAAATAAAATGCAAAAAAACCTCTTATAGCCCTCCTTTTTTCGGAAAATGTGCTACGTTTCCGGTGCCATTTCACGAGTCAATGCGTTAGGTTAGTGTGTGTCTGTGAGCGTTTTTTTGTCTCTGCTCGTATTGAATTTCGGTAGTATTTAAGGTCACCATAGTAAGGCACCAGAAATGCACTTGTACCCCCCAAAATAATCTTACCCGTATTTATCAGGATGCTACAAAATTGTGCTGTGGGGGAGGTGGTTTTCAGAGGTTGGCACGTTGCTATAGAATTAGATTTATTAAAGGAACACTACTACAATTAACACTTATTTAACTTTTTTAAATATTTTATAACACAACAACAAATATAACACTTAAATTAGGGTAATGCGTTTTTTTTACTGAAAATTATCTTTGATTTTATTTATATAGGATATTCACGTTTTGTTTAAACAATAAACATTTTGTTTGTATGAGTGTGTGGGGCTCTTAGTTTGGTAGATAAGGTACTTGTTTTGTTATATTTGGTTTTTATTTTTATTTGTATATATTATTTTAAAAGCGCTTTTGTTCCTTTTTTTGAATTTGGTCCTTTTGTGATTTTTATGTGTTTTTATTTTGTGGTCTCTTCTTTAAATGTTTTTTTTTTTTCTTTTACTTTATTGGTCACGTTTGATTCCCATGATTATGTGTTAACCGTTGCTCAACTTTGACAATACTGAACGTTTTTCGCTTCAGCATCTATCTTTATAAGCTACGTTTGGGCCTTCGTTGTCATTACATTGTTTTTGGTTTTCACCACAGACCGCATGTCTCCCCAAAAGGACTAATGTATATAAAAGCTTGAAGCTTTCGAGAGAGAGGCATTTTGTGAGGAAATCATTTTGGTAAGGATATGATTGAAAAAGTTTATTCAAAAAGTCGCTAAAATAAAAAAGGCTAAAAGGACCAAAACCAAAACCAAAAGAAGAAAAAGTTTAAAGTTACTGTAAAATAGAAAGAAATCATTCAGTGACACGATGTCTCTCACGGTTATAGATGACTCAGTAGAATTGTCGATTTACCAAAAAATATTATTTTCATATTTCAAATTGAATTTTTCAAATATTTAACAAATTTGAATCGAAGATTCGTTTAAAAAACGCCATTAAATTTTATATTTTTACTCCAATTCATGATGGATGGTATAAAATATGTAAACCGGCAACTTGAGTTTAAATTTTGCTAAAAATGTTTTCCCCGTTTCCGACTACTAATACATTAGCCAAATAGTTTTTTAATATGGCCGAATTTTTTTTTATTTTTGATTCTCTATAATATCCTGACCTTAGATTTGGCAACCCTAAAATATCCTCTCACTTTTTCTTCTTCAAAATTTCTCCTTTCTTTATCTCTATCTCTCTGCCCCATTCTCATTGTAAATACTATATGTATGTATAAGAATTGTAATTTTGTTTTCCCCGGCAAAAGACTCACGTGTCTATTTCTTTGTTGTTGCATTCGCTATTCCGAATTCTCAGTTTTCAGGTAAAACCGTGTAGTATGGTGAGTAGAGGTGAAAACGTAGTAAAAATAAAAACACGCGCTAAAATACTACGACTATCAAACCACATGGCACGGAGATACGTGCAGGAGCAATACACTCAACGAAAAAATGCCTGAGGCTAATATATAATTCTTAAGGGACTTGTGGACTGGGCAAGAAAAGGACTCTCACATACAGATACAAAAATTATTTGTTAAGAAAACAACCTGTAAAACTTTCGAAAATGATGACTTTATAAATAACCAATGATAAGAAGGTATTAGTTTTGTCAAAAGTTCAATTTGCGACAACTTTTTTTCCGTTTGATACCGTCTATGGTGAGGGATTATAACTTTTAATCCTTAAGCAGAACGGAGTTGTGGAATACTCAGGTGTGTTAAATTCAAATTGGTTTTCTTGTACACTTTGATGACACACACACAAATCATTTATCGAAACACACACACACCCAAAGAAATACGAAACCCATAATTTCCTTTATTGGCTCAACGGAACCGAACGGTAAGTGTAAAAACAAACAAGATACCGTAAAAGAAATATTATGATTTTTCTTTTTTGTTGCTTTACCACACAACAACAACACCATAAACAGCAACAATAGCTTATTTGAAGCTTATTATATTGTAATTTTAATACCTACCCATCAACGTGAGAGAGTCAGAGCGCATGACATGCCAAGTCATGCCTTGCCTGAAACAGGAAATTTGTATGAATCCTCCGTGGTAGCATGAAAATGTTATTATTTTGCCATAATATCCTTAAAAATGGCTGCGTGGAGGTCAGATGCTATCCAGTGAGAGAGAGAGAGGGAGGGCAGAGTATTTGACAAAGATAAATAAACAATTATGTTCAGAAATGTAATCACTCCAAAACGTTCAACCATGTAAATATATCTCATCAAATGTAAATAACAACGACATCAGCAACAACAACAAAAAGAGTCACCGAGAAAGTTTGAGTGTGATGGATATCCTTGATATCCGCCAGAGTTTTTAAATGTTATCACAATATTACCAAGTGTTTGGAATTTGAAATAGCTGTGTCATTACGTGTGACACGTAAACGAGAGCATGATAAATATTGTTGGCAATATTTATGAGGGAACAAAGGATGGACATTAAGGATGTTCGCTAGTAGAAGGACATTTTATGAAAAATGTGAATCAAAACTCTATTTACTTTAAACAATTAAAAAACGATGTTAAGTTCGGCCCGGTCAAACTTTATATACCCTCCACCATGAGGATGACAATGAAAATATATAAAAAGGAGAAAAATCATGTTATTATAGAACCTTGAACATACCGAAAAATACGTGAAAATTATTGTAATTCTCAAAATATAATATCTAATAATGGGCCTATAATAAAACGTCTCCAAAATTCTCAAAATAACAACATGGGTCAATATTAATATTATATTTTGTGCGGGGATGTGGTGATACCGTTATGAGAACCCAAAATAACAATTCTTCGCTTGAAGAATGTTTAAAAAATCCCCATATTGGGGGTGCTATATTATGGATGCTACCCTTAAACGTGGGTCAATATTACTTATTTTTAGTACGGAAATGTGCTATACAATAAGAACCCAAAATACAAAATTACAGCCAAATTGGTTAGAAAAACGTCTCCAAAATCTTCAAAATATCGAATGCAGGGGGTACCGTTATATGTTGGAAACTATGGTCAATATTAATTTTTGGTACGGATATTCAATGAGAACCCAAAATACCAAATTACAGCCAATTCGGTTGTAAAAAGTGTCTAAAATCCCCAAAATACAGAATATTGGGGAGTACCGTTAACGGGGGTTACCCTAAAACTTGGTTCAATATTAATAATTTTTTGAATAGTGTGGGGTACCGTTATATGGCGACTTCACCAAAACGTGGACCGATTAATGCCCTTTGCAATACTAAATATCCTGGGAGTACTAACAATGTCTGTGCAAAATTTCATGCCTCTATCTTATATATTGCGATCTCTATCGTGATTTCAACAGACGGACTTGCGTAAATCGAAAATGACGTATTTTGAAGCTTAGGTAGTATAGAATATATGGTACAATTTTCTAGTGACTTGGAGTTGTGGAAACTACGTACTTAAATGCACCAATAGGCGGGCGGCCACAAAAATAAAAATTTTGTATCTGGTGTCTTTTGTTTATATCAAAATCACTTTAAACACTTCCTAATATTACAACTCTTAAAAAAAATTGCTAATATTTCCAATTCAAAATAAAAAAAGAATACACATAACTCTGGACTTAATTGGTACTCATTTGCTTTTAACAAACTTGACATTTGATATTTTAACATGATTAAACAGAAGTTGTACTAATCAAACAGCCCACATTTTCAATTAGCCGTTTGACAAAAGAACAAAAGGATAAGGGAATAGCTGTTAAACAGGATGTGCAGCTAATTGCAGTGTTTCCATTTTATGTCCGTCATCGGAAAAAGGCATAATCAGTGCAAAAACGGATGTGACATTTATCGCAACGTGGCAGCACATTCATTGACTGACCACATCCAATCTCTGGCTTTTACACAACCTACCATCCACCCCTTGTTGTATAATTGGCTGGCTGGCTGGCTGGCTGCCTGGACGTCATAAGTTGTGATGAAGCACTTAAACGAATGCTTTGACCAAACAAACTAAATGCAATGGCAAACTAACTTAAATAGGCTTCCCAACTGTTGAAGAAACTCAAGAAATGCATTTAAAAAGTTGTGCGGTTAACAGGAAAGAACATTCGAAACAAAAAACAAATAAGCAAAATTCTCTAAAGTGGGCCACCCTCAATTTTTCCCAAGGAAAACGAATCGACTGCAGGTTTTTACCCCACTGCAATTGTTTGACGTTGTATGGCTGTGCAAAATACTGACCTTGGGATCCTTGGCATAATAAAGTTTATTACGTTTCAGGCGAAAAAAACGTCGACGCCAACGCTGAAAAGACCATGTTTGTTTCAGCAGGAAACCCTCCTTGATGGCAACCTAAAATAAGAAATGAAAGCAAACATAAATATTAATTTAATAAATAATTCCATTTAATAAAATAAATTTGATAGTAATATAAATGAGATGTTTTTGTTGGGCGACAATTTTTATGTTATCGAAAAATCTATATGCAAAAGGCCATTAAAAGTATAAACCCGAAAATTTGTTCTGTTGATTTTCAGTAATTGTATCAAAGAAAACCTCTACCCAATCCTCCACCACCATATACAATGTTTATCCTTGGCGATTGCCTTCGTTTAGTTTGGATTTTGTATTTACATTCATAGATGTCTTTTCCTTGTCTGGGCCATAAAATGCTTGATTGTGTGAATGTTATTTTTTTATTTGCTGTTGTTGTTATTGCTTCAATTATGTGAAAAATATTCATTTTCACCTTTAAACGCTTCACTTGCTATTGTAAATAAGTGTCCATAAAGGGACTAGGGTTCTATAGCACCATGGCATAGGTATTGAAATACGATTTGTAAAATATGTATGTATTTATATTGATTGTTGTATGTGAATAAATATTAAAAATTCTAAGCCATAGATGTAATTTATAACATTTAAAAATATTCTCACGTATTCCAAGTTAAATCCCAAATAATCCATAAAGAATTATTCAATTTTTTAAAACTACGTTAGGTGCTGCTTAGAAAGCTGCTGGCTCAGTGTGAAAATGTTCATTGCAGAAGCTATAAGAAGGAAGAACGGGAGCAATACCGATTTCATAGTGTAGGAATTACCGACCAAATGGAGTTATAACTATATGAGGTGCTATGTCTAATTGAAGACCGATATAGCTCAATTTGCAAACTAAAATGTTTGCATCACTTCACGCTAAATATTAAATATCGAGGCTAGCCTAAACGAACCTGAAGTTTTAGGTAGAATGATTACAACCGATGGCTAAATCGACAAAATCGTTTTGAATTCATACTTTCGAGTACAGAATATCTATGGTGGAATACGACTATATGAGGACAAGCCCAAAAATCAGCTAAATATTTTAATATAAAAGGGGAGAATATTAATACTTTTTGGGAGGGCGATTCGTTACCATATACGACCACAGACAATTCGGTTGAATAACGTGCTCAACAACCCTAAAATACCGAAAGTTGGGGGGTATCCTTATATGGGAGCTATGCCTAAACGTGGACCAATATGATTATTTCGATGATTTAGAAACGGAAAAATAACCTTAATATAGCCTCCATACTAATTTCTGATGGTTTTTGAAAAGTTACGCGTATGACTCTTTGGAAATCCACGCATACATGTCTTACGGTCTTCCAAAAAGTATATATAAAATATACACACTTATTGCTCTAATGGTCCTTGAACATTTATTCTTAAAAAATCCAAACGTAGAGATGGATATAAAAAAACTATTCTTAAAAGTCCATATTCCAAATCCACAATTTATGCATTGATGGATGGATAGAAAATGTTTTATACAAATCCACAAAAAGAGTTCTGATGGACCTCGGAAAATGTTATTTAAAAATCCATGCTTAGAGAAGTAATGAATATTGAAAAATATATGAATAACTTCTGAAAAATATTCTAAAAATAACCAACGGCGAAACGCGTCGCATAATGGTGGGTACGTAGATTCTTCTCCTGGCTTTCCTTTTCATTGCAAAACTTAGATCATCAACCTCGACTCGAAAGAGTATAAATAATCACTTAAAATTACTTTCAAATGATCATTGTCCTTACAAGGCAAAATTCAAATAACAAAAAATTAATATTCTAAAAATATATAACTTGCTAATGAACCAAAAATATTGCAGAAAAAAAAACAGGAAAAGTTATTTACCTTTATTTTATCATCACGCCCATTGTGCATGGCTAGCAACAAGAAAATAATAGCAATATTGACTTTATTGTTTGTACAATGAAAAAAAAACCGCAAAGACTCTAACGAAGGATGTTCGATTTGACATGAATGGAAACAGTGTGTTTAAAACCTTGTTGGTTACCCCGTTTAAACAATAACTCCTCCATCTACCATTTCAATATGGAATGACACCGTGGCGTAGTGTTGGTGGTAAGACTTACAGCAGTAGTAGTGTGCGGTAAACAAAATCGAGGCTAACAATTGATTTGTATCAATTGACTGTTTATTTCGCCTTATTTTTCTACTCTGCTCTACACTCCTTTTTCTCTGCCTGCTTCGCATTGATTCTTCACGTGTAGCAGAATATTTTCCATTTCCATTATTTATTGCAATGCAATGGATTTGTTATGGCCGTTGACTAGTCGAACGAAGAAACATTTACACAGTTGTTTGTTTTTGTGTTGCGATATTGTATTTCCGTTTTGTCTGAGATTTTCAAAGGAAACAATACGAAACAAACAAAAATAAATAACTGACAATGAATGCTAAAATAAACAACAGAACACAGCAGAAATCATAACACCCACTTGAGATACACGAGTAGCATATCAATATTTATTTTTGGGATCTTTGATTCATTGAAGTGTCATTATGACATTCTCAATCAAATTTAAATTAGCTGTTCGAAGTGTTGGCTGTTGTTGATGGCAAAGTGTAGTTTAAACTTCATCGTGAGAGGTTTATGTATGTATTTTTGACAATGGATCGAGTGTCTATTGTTTAAAATAGGAATTAGTTGTGTAGAATTATGGGAAACAATTTAAAAATATGAATATTTTTATTCTGCCATGTGGATTTGGGCGTATGATCAATATATAAAATGTTAATACGCCACCATGTTCGATAAAAGACATCATTATTCACCATGACATTATTTGCTATTTTGAATTCATTTCATTTTTCAAAAATACAAATTTCCATTTGAAATAATAAAATGAAATACTGATTTGGAATATAAAATATTAAATGTTCTATTTTCACATATTTAATACATTTTTTTATTTAATTGGCAATATGATTTTGTTGCTCTAATCAAAAAAATGTTTTTATTGTGTTGACTTGTCATTATCACCATATATTACAATAAAAAAAAACTTAAAAAAACTATTTCTTTGGACATTGTTCGATTTTTTGGCCAGTCAGCCAGTCAGCGTCTTTGCTGAGTTGACTATTTTTTTTTTTTTTTTTTTTTTTTTGACAACAAACGGATATGAGTATGAGGCAAGTGACCTACATAACTAAAGTTGCCAACAATGTGGGCAATAGAAAACTATTTCTTTTTTATGTTCCCATGGTATTGTATGTGAAGAGATAGAAAACGTTCATAAATAATATCTGTTATAGTGGACCGGAAATATTTTCGATAAAGTAATTTCCATAACGGATTCTAATACATATCTGTGTGGATACATTCGTATGACATATAATAACACTGTGCGACACGAAAATTTTTCAGGGGTTCTAATGTACCAATTCTGTTTAGTTGGAGTCCCTGGATCACGAAAATACCTTTGGTTTTTCTGGGTCACTTCGAAAATTAATTTTATAACGGTAAATATAAAGAAAATCGTGGTTTCATGGACTTTCCATTTGAAACTTGAATAACTTATTTACTTTATAACGGATTTATATTATTATTTTTTTCTTTCGAAGAGTACAAATTTTCCTTTCAAACAAGATATATATTTGGTAAATCGGTTGAGGATTGACTGAGTTACAGCGGTTGAAATGTGAAAAAATACGCATAAATCTACAAAATTTATTTTTCTTCGGACTGTACGATGAAATTATGATATCAAACCATATAAGTTTTATTATATTACGGGGAAGAAAATTAAATTAGCTTTCGAAAATGATAAAAATCAAAAAAATCGATTTAAAAATGGATGACTTATACACATTTTTGTATTGATTCTATGCATATTCTCTAAAGGAAATATGGGTCTATCTCATTTCCTTTTGCCTGTTACAAACATAACGGTTTGTAAAAGGAAACGATACAGACCCATATTTCCTTTAGAGAATATGCATAGAATCAATACAAAAATGTGTATAAGTCATCCATTTTTAAACCGATTTTTTTGATTTTTATCATTTTCGAAAGCTAATTTAATTTTCTTCCCCATAATATAATAAAACTTATATGGCTTGATATCATAATTTCATCGTACAGTCCGAAGAAAAATAAATTTTGCCATTTTATGCGTATTTTTCACATTTCAACCGCTGTAACTCAGCCAATCCTCAACCGATTTACCAAATATATATCTTGTTTGAAAGATAAAATTCTACTCTTCGAATGAAAACAAAGAATAATATAAATCCGTTAGAAAGAAAAGAAGTTATACGCGTTTCAAAGTGAAAATCTATGGAACCACGTTTTTTCCTACATTTACCGTTATAAAACAAATTTTCGAAGTGACCCAGAAAAGCCAAAGGTATATTCGTGGTCCAGGGACTCCAACTAAACAGAATTGGTACATTAGAACTCCTGAAAAAAATTTTAGTTTTGTTTTGTATCACAGTGTAATATAAAAAAATGGCAACATGATTTTTATAGAACTTCTAAAACTATAAAAGTAACCAATTTAAATGGTTTATGAGCATTGGTATTCGAAGTACATAAAAAAATCGATTGTCAATTTTGATATATATATCTTGGGTTTTTGGGTTTTATCATGTTCAAATGCACAAAACCACAGGCAAAACTAATACCACATTAGAATATTTTTGAAAAAAATCAAACACAAACTCTTAAATATTTCATTATAAGATTTTTTCGAATATTCTGGTCTAGTATTTAGCTAGCTCTTCCCTGTTCATATTTAATATTCATTTCTTAGTTGATCGTATCAGAAAACATTCGAATGTTTCAAAATTCACAATGGAATTAAATATATAAAAATATTATACAAGTAAAAATCTTGTTTATTTTCGTTCAACAGGTTCTTCCAAAACACGATGCTAATGCACATCACAATGGCTATAAAAACCAAGTGCCACAGTTTTATTTATTTACAAACAACAGATGCATACATACACATAACATACATTAAGCTACTCGTCTGCCTAACATTTGTCACATGTTCAAAGCCGATTTATGTACTTCTTCCCTTTGTGCTTTTGTTCCTCCTCGTTTTTACTACATTTTAAGACGTCGAGTATTCGCCGAGACGAAATGTAAACATTACAGATGTTGACTACATTCAATCTTCTTGGGGACCTCTTTTCTTGTTCTTGCTACATTGAATTTTAGCATCTATTCGTTCCTTACCGGGTATCCGGTCATGTTTTATTATTGCTAAGGTAGATTATTTTCGTAAAGCAGACAAGAAAGAAGAGAAAGTTCACGGAAGAGATACACAGGAAAATCCCTTGAAATTGGCGCGAAAGCTCTTCCAAAAAGTTACAACAAACCAAAGCTCTTTAAATGCCGGTACATTGGTCTTTTGCTGTCAAGGTATTGTCGGCTATACAAATTTTGCTAAAAATGTAATGTAAATACTTGAAAGAGGCAAGATTGAAATTTTGGACGGTATCAAATGTTAAAAATTAGAAAAAATTATTGAAAAATTATCACGCAAAATTTTCTGCATACAGATAATTTTGTAATGATGATTTTTAGTAGAAAAAATTGTCAAAGAATGCTCAAGCCAAATACACGTTTTAAATATTTTAAAGGGTTTGTAACCTAAATATTATGTTGGGGAAAAAGAAAACCATTATTTTTTCGTCGAAAATTTTGATAAAATCGGAGAAATGATTGAAGTTGACTGGCATGTTAGCATTCTTAAAATCGCCCAGGAGCTAAAAAAGAACTGTTTTAAACCATTTACACAAAGCTGGATTCAAACAGAAGCTCGATGTTTGGGTGCCACACCAATTAACAGAAAAAAATATGATGCATCGAATTTCCATCTGTGAAGCCTTGGCTAAACGGAATGGGATATACCCATTTCTTAAACGAATGGTGACTGGAGATGAGAAATGAATCACATACGATAAGCCTGTGCGAAAACGATCGTGGTCAAAGAGCGGTGAAGCACCTCAAACGGTGACCAAATCAGGACTAACGGCCAGGAAGGTTCTGCTATGCATTTGGTGGGACTGGAAGGGGTTTATTTATTATGAGTTGCTTTCATATGGCCAAAAACTAAATTCTGATCACTAAATTGGTCAACAGCAGAGGTGTCGTATTCCACCACGTCAACGCTAGGTCACTCACATTTACAGTGACTCGCCAGAAACTTCGGGAGCTTGGTTGGGAAGTTTTAATGCATCCGTCATATAGTCCGGACTGGGCAAGAGATTATCATCTTTTCCTTGCATTGCAAAATTTCTTTAAAGATTAAAAATTGGTATCTAGGGAAGATTGTGAAAATCAACTACTAGAGTTTTTTTGCAAATAGAGAGCAGGACATCTATGAGAGAGGCATTGTGAATGGCACGAATCATACAACAAAACGGTGCATAGTTGGCCCAAATCGGACATTCCGAAGAATGTTTAATAAAGTTCTATAGTTCATATAAAAATAATGGATTTCTTTTTCAGCAACGTAATATGTATCAGTAAGTTTTTACTTTGTGACCTGCAGGATTTGCAAAGACAGAATATTTTTTGGAGGAACCTAATTAAACGCCATCATGCCACCTTTATTAAACATATTAAATAGTTTTTAGTTACTATTTAACTCATAAAAGACACACCATTTTCAAACATATCTTTTTGAAACAAATATATTTCAACAGAGAATATCTACTCCAAAAATTACAAATTAAAACCACAAGATATCAAAGGAAGGATGCAATTAAAACCAAACTTCTGATTAAACATCCAAAAAATATCCCAAAGACAAAATAAACTTACCGAACTGTTAACGTTTCGTTTAGTTGAAACACGTCGATGAAATATTTTTGCTGGCTCAGCTTCAATTTCCGATTCAGAGGATTCATCTCCAGGACTAATGGCAATTACCGGTATGGGTATGGGTGATACACTGCCAGAGCTGCACGCGCTACTACCACCACTACTACCTCGTATTGCTGAGTTCGTTGCAGCAACACGTAGAAGTCCCTGATTAGGCATTCTTTAAATATTGTTCTTATTGTTGTCGTTGTTGTTGCTGTTCTTGTTGCTTGCTACGTTTCGTCGATTGCTGTTGGGTCACGTTGCTGTTGGGGGTTGCTATTGTTGTAGTTGTTATTATTCTTCTTCTTGTTTGCTCCTTCTTCTTTTGTTGCCGGAGAAAACAATTAAATTTTAAATGATTTATGGCATAATTTTGGGAGTCTCACACAAATATTGTATACATACAGGCAGCATTTTATTGGCGATTAGCGTAAACTTTTTTATTAATAATTTATTATTCCCTTTTGTTTAGAAGGGATGATTTTATGTTGGGCATTGAAAAGTTGAATATGAATATTAAATGTCACTTAAAACAAATAGAACATTTTTTATTTTGCTTTCGGGTTTTTTCATTTATGTATGAGACGATTGTACATTATTAATACAAAAAAATCACATGTCTTAACAGGTATGTACCATATAATTATTAAATAAAAAAAAACACTCACACACATACATGTTCACATATACACGTAGAATTACACTTATTTTAGAGTATACTATTCGACTTCACTGCCATTGATGATGATGGTTATAATAATATGCCCGTTTATTTTTTTATTTTTGGTAAATTTTATTATTAAAATTTGTTTGTATATTTCTAACTACAGTTTAATTGAAACATTCACATAAATATGTATGTAGTTTACGTATAAAAAATTGTAAAAAACTTGTATTTATTTTATCCACTTAAATCGATATGACGAATAAGTTTAATTTTTCAGTTTCTTTCTTAATAATAACGAGAACATCTAAATTGAAGGAGTTTTATTTATTTTGTTGTCGGTTGGAAGTTGATTTTCTTTAAATTATTTTATTTTGATATATGTATTATTTTTTGTTTGCTCCAAAAGAATCATAACTTTACTCACACACTATTTCAAGACCGCAACCCTCACTGAGCTTTTTTTCCTATTGCCAGTGAGTGGTTGTTTGGTTGGTGTACAGTGGAAAAATGGCATTCTCCTTTTTGGCCAAGCCATGTAGCAGTGCAAAATGGTTTTATTCGAGGAATGTTTGTGTATGTGTGCGCGTAAAATGTTCTCTTCGCACTCGCATTTAGATGAATTTTCTCTGGTACGATTGCTTTATTCGCGGTTTTGTAGATGTCTCCGAATGTTGATTGTTGTGTTTGTTTTTAATGTGTGTATGTGGAAAAGACAAGTCAAAAAGAATTATAAATATGATTACCATGATACTATAACTGTGTAGTACCAAGATGGATAAATTTAAAAAAAAATGTTAACTAAACCTCATATGAGTAAAGAATGGAATTTAAGAATGTTATGTTTCGGTCAATTAGAATTACATTATAAAGAAGCATTGGCTTTGACAATTAGTGATAATGAATAAAACCTTTACATTCCAATGGATATCCTGTTTACAATCCAAATATTTCGAATATATATACTTAATTTATTAAATAAGTCCTTGTATAACATTTGGCAACTCTAGTCAACTATACTTTTTTTATTATTCTCTCGATTTTCACAAAAGAAGAAAGATGAACAAAAGATACAAAATAGTTGTACACAAGCAACTAAAGACAAACGCAAACAACAATTGACTTCGAAAGTTCAAAAACCCTTCAAGTCGTAAAATTACGACTTTCGGCATTTGTTGTGCAACTGTGTGTGCCCAGTATATCAACACTCTCTTATATACGTACATAGCGGGTAAATAACAGTAATACACTTTGCTGTCAACATGTGCTACACACTCGAGGGAACCACCCTTACACGAATGCAATGCCGCCACACACAGCCACATTCCTACAAACATCAATACGCTTCCGAAAGGATAACAAAAGCAAAACAAAGAAACAAAAATAAAAATAAATCAAGCGCAAACTGTCAAAGCGTTGGAGTTGCGGGTCATCCACATACCCAGCCCATTAATTGACATTATTTTGCTCACATTGCAGGAGTTATTCAAAAGTCACTACACTTTGTTAATTATCCTTATTATGGGAGACAACCCAATTTTAAATTATTTAGGAGTGACTATAGGAAAACAGCAATCCTTTGATTATGCATGTACATACACATCGCTATAAACGGATATGTCCAGTGTATTGTCCTTTATTCTTATTAGTTGATGAAGCCCAACGACTGAGTCATTGGCGAAGGACATTGCATTGTTACTTTGTGTTCATAAAATTGTATTCGATTGGTGTTTCCTTTTTGTTGTTGTTTTCACTCTTTGTAAGTAAAGTGCAAAATTGTGTTTTGTTCATCCAGTAGACCATACAAATACAAGGTATTGCTAGGGGTAGGCAATATATTAGAGTGACCTGTTATTTAAACTAAAATTAAAAAATAATAAGCATCACTGATTTAGAATTTATCTAGTAACAAAGGGATAAAGTCCCACTACATGAAGGAATCTATACAATTTGGAAATAATAAGAATAAAATAAAATTCAGCCGAGTTAGATATAGGTTGAGAATTTGGGCGGATTCCCTATGTTCTCTAATTGTACTGTCATAATCTGAATTTAAATATAAGTAATTTGCCCAGTGTAAACATTTTTAATTTGAGTGTGAATAGTTGTTATGCATGCATCTATATCTATAAATAATAATTTAAAAAACAAAATAAACCAATACGTACCAGTATTAATATTTCATAATTAGCATATTGAATATACGTTTTAATAATGTTCTTACATGAAAACATGTGTGTTCGTCATTATAGGAAATTGTAGCAATAAATTAGTTTTATACCAGCATTTCTTTTTGTTTAAAATTTTTTCTCAATTTGCAGTCATTGTTCCCAATGAATTGAATTTTATTTTATTATAATTTGCAATATTAGATATCATGATCTATAACAAAAATGTACATGTGATTATATCATAAACAATTTTGAAAACGTAAAAAATAATACCAACATAAACATATTTCCAACCATATAGCGATATTTTCAAATATAACAATAGTAACTTTATAAATGCACATATTATTGTCGCTTAGGGGGCTAGGCGCTCATATACCCAACCATTTTCAGCGGGATGTACCAGAACATTATCGATTTCCTATTTAAAAATTACAAAATTAATTTCTCAAACAATTGTTACTTAAGAATATAGCATTACCTTCTCGACTCCAGAATATTTTCGAAATACAATACGATCATGTAAACGATCTGTTTGACCTTGCCAAAATTCAATTAATTTTGGTCTTATCAAGTAACCGCCCCAATTTGGTAAAGGCACCTCCTTATCGCCCAAATCTTCTTTTATTTTCTTCTCAACTTCATCTAAATGTTGACGTGATGGTATTTTGGAACTTTGTTTGGATGCCAATGCACCTATTTGACTTGCTCTCGGTCGTTCATGGAAATATTTCAATGAATCTTCCTGGGGTATTTTCTCTGCAACACCCTCAATGCGTATTGAACGTCTAAGGGGGCACCAATATAAAGTCATGGCCACATTTGGATTTGATGCAATATCTTTAGCTTTACGACTGCCGTAGTTGGTGAAAAATGTAAAACCTTCATCGGAGATGTCTTTCAGAAGAACGAAACGATTCGATGGACAGCCATTACTAAAAAAAGTTATGGAATTTTTATTTTGTGAAGAAGTTGAAATAACAACGAGTTTATATAAATAAAAAAAATATTTAAATTATATTACAAAATATAATATTAATCATAAAATGCTCCACAAATAATTCATAAGTTGATGTATTTGAATATGTTAAAAATGATCTGACCGTTCAAATATTAGTCGTAGTCTTGATCAAAAAGTTCACAAAAACTATTGCATTTATAACACTTATAACTTGCAAATCACAAAACTAGACATTATCCTAATCCTTGGATGGAATAACTCGAAATGTGTAGATTAAAACAAATGTACATACATATCGCTCATTTGCTGCAAGACAGGCATAACTAAAAAACGGTTTTGCAGAAAATGCGTTTTAAGTTTTCAGTTTACCCACACCTTATATGGGACAGAGGAACTTCTACAGCCTCTCAATTAGAGTGTGTAAGAGATATTGATATGCATTTTTATACAGCATGAGTTCTATTATAGCGAAAAATCGTGCATCATTAACTCGAAAATCACGTTTTATGAGTTATGCCTCTCTTGCAGCAAATGAGCGATATGTTTTTCTGTAACCTTACTGCATTTGTAATCTACTCTGTATACATTAACATATACTTATCAGCTACACAAGCTACACATATAAACTGTGTTCATGATATATATAGCAGTTAACCGCGATACTGTTAACATAGCTTTACATCGTGTTTTTCCATTCCTAACTCACCTTCCAACTGTGGCCAAACTGGCTGCATTCGGTTCTATAATTTCTTCCGTTTGCAATGCCTGATTCATCCATTCTCTGAACAGAGCTATGGGTTCCTTAACACGGATATTTTCCTCCAGAAATACTTGCTTCTTTTCCATATATTTTAAGCGTAAAGCTGTAATGATACACATAAATCAAATATTTATTATATTGGCATAACGACAGCAAATCAATTGATGCAATCAATATCTCATCTACCTGACAGCGGAACATTTGCGGCCGACATTTTTCGTAGTTGTATTAATAGCCTCACTAGTTGTTGTTTTTCGGGGGGGGATGAAAATGAAGATTATAAATGTATTAACCGGCTGAAGTTGTGATTTAAACTGAACAAATAATCTAAAGCACACAAATTTATTAACAGAAAATAAACGATTCTTACTTGTCAAGCCTCTTATCTAGTGTTTACCTTTGTGTTGTTGTTGGTCGAGTGGCAGGGATAAGAAACGGGTTCAAATGAGTGATTCTGTGAAATGAACAGAAGGGACTATTTCTAGTTTGCACGTTTATTTCTGTTGTTGACACTAATGCATATGTATAATGAAAATAAGAAGAAAAAAAAAACAATGGAATATTAATATATCTGAATTGAATGAGTTATGGTGATTTATATGAGATATTATCATTAGTACAATTCTTTACACTATTACGTCGTACTAAATGCTCTAACAAAGTCGGGTATTTATAAATCGAATTATGCCTAATGGCGCCATCTACATTTGAGTATGATGTGTATGACACTGACCGTTAAAGTATGAATGTTTTGAAACAAAAAAGTTGTTGGTATGTTAATTGCTCTAAAATGGTACTTGTCGGTGGGTATATAGTGATGTCGAAAATTATAAATAAAATAAAAAATTATAAGTTTACGGTAATATTGTGTATTTGTGTTGATTTCTGTTCCAGAGACTACAATAATTTTTAGTAATTTTTTTAATTTCATCTTTATATAATTTTGAAACGTTGTACCAGTTTTTATACGGGAACAGGCACGTTGCATGTTCATTTTACTAATATTTGATAATATTTCTTGTTATTGGTTTATATATTATAATTATATATTGACAGTGTACTAGAATGTTAACTAACATTGGATTATGACAGTAAATAGCTTTTTTGTAAATACGTGAAACCTTCGTTATAATTATAAGACACTTGGAAGCTTTAAAAGCTCCAAGGATTCTATGCACCACCACTCAATCAGTGGCTGGCTGGCAGTATGTCAACAAAGAGTGTAATAAATTTCGAAATAAAAGCAAAGAAACAACGTTAAAAATGCGTAAAGACGACCTAACAAAGAATGATGAAAACCTACGGCAACACAACAACAACAACAGCAGCAACAAAACAGCACTTAACGTTACGGTGAGCTCAGAGTATTTTTGCAACGGACGGATATGTGTGTCAAGTTATGTGAAAATATGTGAGGTAGCGAGTGTTTGTGTGCACTTGTTTTTGGCAGCGCTGCCAAAAAGGACAAGAGCATGAACGAACAAAATAACTACGACAGCATGAAATTCGTACAACGGCAACAACAAACGGATATCAAATCTAGAGCACTGTTAACGTAAGAATAAGTTTTAGGCCATAGAAAAAAAACAACAAAAATAAAATAAAGACAAATGTATGTTGTTGGGTATGTGCACCGCGCAATTACAGTCAATGAATGTTGCATTAATATATTTTGAGAAAATAATGGGCAATTCTACAGTTATATCCATAATATTTGAAAGAATGGCTTTATCTATAAAATATCGATCAATTATTGAGGAGGACACTTTGAAGGCATCCAATCTTCAAAAGAATTGTAAATAGTTGTAAAAAACGATATGAAGAAAAAATACAAAATATATAGAAAAGCTGAAGAAATTTTTAATTTAAAGATATATTGTAGACAAAAGCAGAAAACATGTAGAAGATTTATACCTATGCTTATATGTTATCAGGAAAATGTCTATGAAAATAATTTTGATAGATCAATGAAGAATATTGAATAACTTAAATTAACAGTATAACCGTATTATTATATATAATAGTAATTATCATTGTCCATAGATTATAATTGAATGACCACCTACTGTAGGCTTAAAAATTCGTTCAGAAATGAGAGAAACAAAACTCAAACAATTTCTGACAGGACAAAAACAAACGCACACATACACATACATTTTGAATGCCGCCGACGACGGAGGACAACAGTGACGACGACTACGGCTACGATGTTTTTGTCGACAAGTAGCAGTGCCATCGAACAAATGAAAATTATGTGAAAGCAAAAGGCTGCTGGTCGTTCGTGAGGTTAGTTGTGAATGTTCGCGCAAAAACGTAAAAGAAAAGCTAAACTTAAATGAAACGCTCGAGGAGACAAACAAATATACAGCAATAAACAATATATATATATATATATATAAATGAAAAAGTGTATAATTTAATCATAGCAAACGGTAGCAACAACAAAAATAAAAACACAACAGTAACATCAATATTTTTTGTTGCTGCTGCTGATGAAGAATAGTTTTGTGTGATGATGGCGACGATGATGTGGTGCTAATCGAAATTTAAAGAATGTTTTAATAATAAATAGAAAAAAGATAATAAATTTAACAAAAAAGTAATATTTACTTACGACCACAATAAAATAGTATATAAAAGAAACAAAATAACAAAAAAGAAAACCAACGTGTGCAAGTAAAAGCAATAGAAAAAATATCTGTAAAACGTCCTTGCCAAAAAATATATATTAAAGGATAATACGAAAAATTACCCAAAAGTTAGCCACATAAATTGAAAATTAAATTGTGTCTGTGTGTGTGTTCATTTCACTTAAAAGTGTGTTAGCAAGTGCGTGTGTTCTGTGTTCCCCGCCCCTTTGGCTGGCCAATACATTGTCACCGTAGTCGTCCCTATTCATTTGTGTCTGTGTGAGTGTGCCTTCACACATATAGAAATATATGCCCATTGAGTGCCTTATATCTTTCGATAACAATACTCAAGGTGTCTATTATGCTGGCCAGGAATTATCTGGTGTTGTTGATCTCACTGTTGATACAACAAAACGTATTAAAGGTAAACAAAACAATCATTGGTATTTTTTTGCCTCATCCTTAGCCTCATTCTGCATTGTGTGTTTCTTAAACTTTTTGTCCAATGTGCCCCGGTTACCCTTAGCTGTTGTTGTCGTCGTTATTGCCACAAGGCAAGAAGGCATGCAAACATGTATATGTGTGTGTGAGTGACTGTGTATCTGTGCTACTGTACAAAGTATGACTCAAAAGGATGTGTTGTCCCATTTCCGTGAAGTGTTGTCTCGAAGGTTTTTGTTTTACAAACGTAGACGTCGCCGCAACGTTTTAGCTGCTGATGTCGCCGTCTTCGTCTTTGCTTTTGACACCGCCATTATTCACTGTTACCGACCAGTGACCATTAAAGTTTATTAAATGTTTTGTTTTCTTGTTTTGTAATTGTCATTTATCAATAAACATCACAATTTGTCAATTCGTAGAAACCATTGATGTGAATTACACGTAACCAAGTAAACATTTTTGGGAACAAATGTTGAAAGTTTTTTTTATTTAAAACATTGTGCTTTTCTGTAGTTTGATACCACTGTTAATTGAACTTTGCTCCTAGCATTGATAAAAGGATATCATTTTCTGTTGATATGCCTGAAAATAATAATTTTCACAATCAAAAGGTCACAATTAATCATACGTCGTTAGTGTGACAAATAAAATGACTGATCAAAGGAAATTCCAATTTTTTATTATTAACTGATTTAAATAAATTAAGAAAATATTTGTCGATCCAAAATATTTTAGTCATATTTATAGAATAATAAAAAAAATGGATTATAATAATAGTTGTTTAGTAAACGGATCCCCAGTCGAGAAAATATCATTTTCAAAAAGCGTTCTCGTTGTGCCGGCCTATATATTCAATAGTTTTTAAAAAGTGACTTGAACAAATTATTTAAAGTGGACATTCTTGAATTTGAATTTAAAAAGGTAGTCGATTATTTTGAATCCTAAATGTTAGTGAATATAGTATACCCCGAAATATCCAAAGTAGGTCAATGCCAATTATTTGCTGGAGAAACTATAGGAATATTATTATATTATATACATCGGAGAAATGATCGAAGTTGACCAGCGTGTTAGTAAACTAGGTGTTAAAAATCGACCATAAAACTGTTTTAAACCATTTACACAAAGCTGGATTCAAAAAGATGATCGAATATCCACCTGCGAAGCCTTGGCCAAATGGAATTAGATAGATCCATTTCTTAAACGGATGGTTACTGGAGATGAGAAATGGATCACATACGATAACCCTGAGCGAAAAAGATCGTGGTCAAAGAGCGGTGAAACACCTCAAACCTTGGCCAAATCAGGACTAACGGCCAGGAAGATTCTGCTATGCATTTGGTGGGACTGGAATGGGATTATTTATTATGAATTACTTCCATATGGCCAAACGCTAAATTCTGATCTCTTCTGTCAACAACTAGCTCGTTTGATGATAGCTATTGACCAGAAACGGCCAGAAACGCTAGGCCACACACATCTACAGTGACTGGCCAGAAACTTCGGGAGCTTGGTTGGGAAGTTTTAATGCACCCGCAAAACAGTCCGGACTTGGCAATAAGCGATTATCATCTTTTTCTTGCATTGCAAAATTTCTTCTATGAGAGAGGCAGAAAATGGCAACAAATCAACCAACAAAACGATACATATTTGTAAATCGGACATTCCGAAGCATGTTAAATAAAGTTCTATAGTTCATATAAAAATAACCGATTTCTTTTTCCTCAACCTAATATTAAAAAAATGTCGGTTTTCGTTAGGGAGCTATTGATTTTATAGGAGAGGACAGCAAAGTATGATAATGATTAAAATATCTGTAAATTTTTCAAAAGTATACAATTTTTTTCAAAAATTTTACGATTTGGAAGACAATGCTTAGATGCTCTATTAACTTTGTCTAAAATTAGAGTTTGGATTCCCATTTTATATAATTTTTTTATAACAGACCCACTTGTCCGATTTGTCTATAGTTCTAAAAATGCAGCTATGTAGGCAGTGGCTTGTTGTGTCAAATATAAAAATAAACATACACAACAAATTTTTGTGTTTTTTTGGCATAATTAAAAACGCTAAAAATAATGAATAATTATGATTTCTTCTCAAATACAAAGTAATTGAATCCAGACGAGAAAAAATTGTAATCAGATGGTAGCTATGCCCTACCTTTAAATAATTATACCAAGGGTTCAAGTAATGGTAGCTATCATTTCAAAATACCCAGTTTTGTTGATGAATAAGCGTAGAATTTTAGACTTGGTAAACATTGCTTATCGGAAATCCATATTATTTATTGTTTTGCCACAGAGAAATAGAAACCATTATAAAGTAGTTTGCTTTGTTATCGTCACATTTATTAATTGCTTTTCAAAATCATGTTTTGCCATCAATAAAGGACATTGCAGTGGAAATTGTCAATGTAATTTCCTTTGATGTTTGAATGTGTGAGTCTCTTTCTATCTCTGTGTATGGGTAGCATTTAGTGCATTTCCGCACACACTTACACAAATGCAATTGCATTGCAGAGTAAACCAGCAACATACTAGAACATTGACATATTCATATCCTGTGGAAATTGTTGTCATTTTGTTGATATTGTTCTTGCTGTTGTTGTTGTCTGTTATAGTAAGCATTTTTTATCGGTGCTCTATATAATTATTTCCTATTTTTAGTTGATTTTCATGTTTGTGCTGCAAAACCATATTTTTGGCACGCAGCCATTACTGTGAATAGCCATAGTCGTCGCTGCAACAATACAAAAGCTAACAACAAATGACCATTTAGAGGACAATCTATAAAAAAAAACGGGGAGGAACAAACCTTTTCAAAGGATACCCTACATTTAGTTTGTTCAGCGTTGGCTAAATAAAAATTACTAATGGAAATGGCGCCAATTATAACATAATAATTTAAATACCCTTTGTAGGGTACACGGACAGAAATAAATCATTGCACACACAAACACACATGTCCATGTCTGTATTGCAAATGCATTTCACTGTTCTCCTTGGTGAAAACTAACCACAAAAATACAACAAAAAAACAAAGGATAGATGGGTGGATGGATGGATGGATGGATGATTGTAGAGGATGAACGAAATTCTGTTGCAGTTGAAAATTAATTGCAATGTCAACATTAAATTGCAGAGCTACCTAATTCTATTGTATTTTCCAATATATTTTTGTTGTTGGTTTTTTACAATACAACATTTTTAGATAAAGGGATAAAGGTAGGTTGTTTCGATTAAAAGATATACCATAATTATAAAAAAAGAAAAGAATTTTTCCATAATTTAATCGGCTTTTTGGCAGTAGTTTATCAATTATGGTAACTGTTGTGTTAATTTTTCATTAATTTAGAACTAATATTTTTATTTGTGAAGGTTTTACATATTAATTTATACAGACCCATTGAACAACAAATATGATTGCGGTCACTTACAAAGTCCATAATTAACAATTTAAGGTATTCTGATTAAATTGGAACTTTCAGTAAAAAATTTGGAGGGTATAATTATTTTTACATTTTATTTACTAAACCTCGAAGTATCTATCTGACACCCTAGCAATACAAAGCATCATCTATAATGCATTTGTTTGTGACATACCAAGTGAAACAATATAGAATAGTACTTTTGAGTAAAAATATTAGGTTGGGGAAAAAGAGATCTATTATTTTTCTTGTGTAAATGGTTTAAAACGGTTATGGTCGATATTTAGCTCCTGGGCGATGTTACGACTGCTAACAGCCGGTCAACTTCGATCATTTCTGCGATTTTATCGACATTTTTGGCGACCGGCCTACCTGTGCGAGGTGCATCTGAACATCCTGAACGGAATCTACGACAGCAAAATTGCACATCATTGGCTGTTACAGTACCGGAACCATAAACACCATTCACAATTTTAGCCGCTTGGCTTTCATGTCAAAGAAAAACTGTAAAATGCACTGATTTTTATCTTTGTTCGCTTTCATTTTTAACACCCTGTAACTCACAACTGAATGCACCAAACATAAAAAAATATTTTTTTTTACTGCGAAAAGTCACCCTTTCAATGAGCAGAAATCTGAAATTGTTTGATCGATACTTTACGAGAAATATATTTTCTTTCATTTTCCGTAACCTAACATTTCGTCCAATTGTATTTAAATTCCATTTAAAGTACATATTTTATTAAATTCATGTTTCTTTCCTTTTCAGCCATACACATCACGGTCAACGGTTATGCCAAGATACGCTGGATAAAGAAGGGCTATCCACGTGACAGTGAACGGGCCATGTGCCGGGCATATCGTTCGTATTTGTCATCACGTTCGTATGTTCTGGGCTCATGTGGTAGCAATTCATGCCTGGACTGGACAGCTGGTGAATATTCATATACATTTCATGTTATACTGCCGGAAAATTTACCAACCTCGTTCGATGGCAAATACGGACAAATCCATTATGAAATTATAACGACGATAGATAGACCAGGAAGATATCCCAAAGTATTCAAATTGCCTTTTACGGTGATACATCCAGTAGATTTAAATAGTGATGCCATATATAGGGTGAGTTACCCCGAAAAGGGTTAAGATTAATATCTTACATACATATTGTCGGAGTTATGTTGTTTTTTTCTGTTTTTTAGGTACCCCTAGAAATATTAGATCGTAAACGTTTTTGGAGTTTTTGCTGCCCAACCGGACCACTTACTGTTAAATTTTCCACACCCTATTGCGGCTATGCTCCCGGTCAGAAAATCCACTTCGTTTTGTACATTAACAATGAATCGTCCATTGACATCACCCACTGCGATGTGAAACTGAAACAAGAGGTGACCTATGAGACCCATGATCCGCAACATGAATACCGTTATGACAAGCATTTGATAGCGTCCAAACAATTCGGCAACGTCTTGAGATGGAGTCGTAAAGTCTATCGTGGCTACCTAGAACTGCCATCTATACCGCCCACATCGGCCAAATTGTCATGTCCGATCACGGTAAACTATGCCATGAAAATTATCATAAAGCCAACCGAATTTCATTGGAAAATGAAATTGAAAATTCCTCTGACAATTGGCAGTGTACCGATAATGGATAACGGAAATAGTGCGGCGTTATTACAGGCCAATAATAATAGCATTATGCGGGCCGAATCGAGAGATGAGCCGCCGGTTACAATGTTGCCTAATACGGAGGTGGATGATGATGTCAATGATAATGACAATTCAACGCCAACAATAATGGTTACCGATACCGATAATCCTCCAGATTATATACCAATGAGTGAGTTGAAATCATAAATTCTTAAGATTAATACATTTTGAGTTATTTGGAAACTATTTTCGATAAATACTGTTATTTGGTATTTCTAAATAAGGGAAGGTCTTAGCCTTGTAGTAAAAAAGGGCACTATGCATGGGGACAAAGCTGTGCACATGTGCTTATGTTAATATTTAAAATTAAATAATTATTTTCCAAAAATCTGATTGATAAAATATATATTTTCGATTATTAAATATATTAAAATATATATTTTAAATTAAATAAAGTGCAAAAAATAGTATCCTTTTCTACATTTATTAAGTGATTGTTTTTATAATCCCAGACGAGACTAGAAAACTAGTTGTTGTAAATATTTGTCAGATGATAAATAATAGTTTAGTTTATTTTTAGAATTGCAATTACTGGAATATCACATGGGACTTTTAAAATTTCAATATGCTAGTTATTGTTAACAAATGCTTTCGTGGTGAATTTATTAACATTATATGTATGTCCCCTGTGACTGAGTCAAGCTCATATATTTTAAAGTAATTGTAAAAGGTTGTCAACACGAATGAAAATGCATGTCATTTACGTAAAATATTCCACACAATTGAGTAATAAGTTAAAAATAGAAAAAGAAACAGAATATCGTTCAGTATGGCCGCGTCGAACTATTTATAGCCTCCACTATAAAATTTAAATTCAAAATACCTTAAAGTCCCCATTTAAGAATTCCGACTGATTTAAGGTATTTTGAATCCAATAGTGGATGGTATAAAAAGTTCGACACGGCCGAATGGAACGATATTTAATGGAAGAATTATTAATTCACAGTTAGTTAGGATGGAAAATTTGGAAAAAGGCAAGGGCAAGAAATTTATATGGGGGGAAATTTCATCCATTATACATAAAGAATCCGGTAAACTTTCCTGGACTCTTACAACATAAATTGTTATACGAAAGTATTAAATCCTAGATATATTTTAAACGTTGCTAGTTTTATTTCATTTAAAATAAATGCTTAAGTAATTCCGAGAAAAATTCTGAATTATCTTGAAGCTGACAACATTATTTTTTTTTAATTTGACAAAAACATTTTTATTTATCTTCGAATTTATTTTAGAGTCCAAATTGTTGGTATAATTTGTTTCTATAATTTTTAATATATATTTTTTATTTCATAACGATGAATTAACTCACATTTTTCATTTTTATTACAGTGCCACCATCCTACGAAGATGCCATGGCCTTGAGTGAGAAATTCTTTGATGATCTGGCCTATATGGAAAATGTTAGCGTTTCCAGTGTGGTAACCAACAACAAAAATGAGAACTTTAAACCGCGATATCCCGTCTATTATTATTACGAGACACCCATAATACCACCCGGTAGTGATGATTCAGCAAATGAATCAGAATAATTGTCGTATTTACTTTTTCTATAAATTTACATACTACATTATATTACCTATAAAACCCAGTCGAAACAATCAAACCAAAAAATATCCATTTATGTGCATTTGTTATTTTTATATGTCTTTCTTAATGCAAAAAAAAAAAAAAATAAATTTAATTGATCCTTCAATGAAAATGTAGTTAGTCCTTAAAAATTTGAATGTTACCGTTTTTAATACAATTATAATTATTCAACAAAATTTAAATTATATATTAAACCCACACACAAATACACATCCAGAACACTTTTGCAAAGTTGAAGAACAACAAAAACAAATCAGAGACCAAAACAATCGGTATGTTTGATTAGATTTGAGTTTTCCCAGTAATTCTTGTTGTTTCGTTTGTTTTCTTTAAATAACAATATCTTATTTATGTTTTTTTCTTTCTTTCTACGACCTTTTTCGTTATTGAAATTAAAAAACAAAACAAAAAATGATGAACAAAATCTGCACGCCTACCACTTTAATATGACAAATGAATATCTTTCGAATGATTCTGTTTTCGTTCTTATGTTCCTTTTATGGTATGGAATTTGTTATTTGGTTTATGAACGTGTGTATGTATGTTTGTATTTGTAGCTTTGGTCCTTGACTTTTATTTCGTACTTAAATTAAGTTATGTTATGTGAATTTGTATGTGTTTATTGCGCCTTACCATTGATATGGCTTTCTAACTACTACAACAATAAAAACCACACTACCACTTGTACAACAAGAAATATATCAATACCAATACTACCACAACCCACCTCCTAGAACAATAATACTAATAATAACAACCACAACAACAACAACAATAACAACACCATGTCCTTGGTTAATGGTTAATAATGAACAAACAAATTTCTTTGTTTCTGTGTTTCTCTTTCATGTTTCGCTCTTCTTGTTTTCTTTCTGATTTTGTTTCTCTTTTATAGAAACCCTTTATGATGCCATACCATCACGTTACCATCCAATGGTGCTAGCAACGCCTATGTCGGACATGTCATCATCTCCGCTAGAATTGAGTCATGTCAAGGCATTTGGGAAATTCCAAATATTGCGTTACATTAAGAAATAGTTGGTGATGTTACCATCCCGTATCATCGACCCCCTCCTCCAACCTAACACATAGAGCAAGTTAAGAATGAACAAAACAAGCGTCGTCTCTTAGAGAAAATTAATTTTGGTTTATAATTTATTTATTATTTTTTTTGTATTTATACACTTATTCGTAGATAGAGCAATAAAAGAAATTTAACATTTAACAAGAAAACAGAAAAAAGTTATAAATATATAAGAACAAAATGAATATACGATATGTATAAGTATGCACATATTCCACACGTTTAGAGGCGAGATTTTGTAGATTGGAATTGATATTGAAAAACACGGAAAGAAATTAAAAGTTAATACGTTTATACTTTCTATGAACCATAATTTAATTGTCTGTTTTGAATTCAATGCATATTTTATAAAAAAAAATTTTAATTTTTAAATTTTAATAATTCGCGAAAGTGGATTTTATTTTCATAGCAATTTCAATCTAGAAATAAAACACACACACACCCTAGTGTAATATGTGCATTAAATATGAATAAAGTGCCATTTATTTTACGTTTTTTAATCCCTTGAATCCTCGAAACAAAATTGTAATTGACTTCATTTTTGAATTTCTAGTCGAAAACAAATTGTACCTTTATAAATAATTAAGAAATTTTTTAAAACTAAATTTATAAGAGAATATAAATCCTTCGAAAAAACCAAACCTAAAGCAACATTATTTAATTCTTCCTTTTTTAATTATTAATTAAATTAAATGTTAAAACAATTGCACAATTTATAAAATAAATGTATATGAACGTTAACAACAACCAATGAAAAAAAAACAAACAAAACAGACATATTTCTCCTTTTTAGCCTTTAGCTCTTAAGCATATTTGCACAATTTTACTCTTAGCTAAGCAAACATTTTTTCATATTTCCAAAAATTAAAAAAAAAAAATATATATCTAAATAAAAAAACAACCAAACCAATGCGTTTAAAACGATTACATTTTTTTATAATTTCGATATAATGAGAATAATCGATGTTTATGTTTTAGCGCATAAGATTCCACAAAAGAATACAAAATAAAACCAACTTAAAATTTCTTTGAAATTGTAAATCAAAAACTAAACTAAACTAAACTAAACAACAACAAAAATATTTTTAATAAAGTTGCAAATAAACTTAAAATGCTGTTTTTCACATTTTCTTAATTTATTTAACAAAATATTAACCATAACTATATTTTATATACATTTAAATTAATTTGATAAATTTCTTATAACAAAATCTCAGGGATCTACTTAGGGAGGTGTTTCTCTTTAATGGCATCAAATCGCACATGGATTTGTAGATATGGTCACCGATAAACGATTCCATGCTGGGAAGTTTTAAGTTCAAGGGTTGTATAGCTGATTCGGCATGAACAGAACCTAAAATTAAATTTTGTTATTTTTTAATATTTTTATTATTTTTATTTTCCCAGTCACCATAATTATCATAGCATAATACACTTTCCGACTCATCATCAGTTGTCTTGAAGCATGGTGTTGTTCCAATGGTCAATGGTATCGTCACACATGCCAAAATCTTCTTATTGCCATCAACTACCAAGGCCTCCAGAAAATATTCATATTTTAGCATTGAATCTTCACAACATTCCCTGGATATTTGACAATCTAGTGGCAAATTTAAATATGCCATTATCTCACCCGACGGCCAATGTTTTCTAAAGTTTATGGTCTGTTTTATTTGTTTGACTTGCTTGACTTGCGAAGGTGTTTTCCGACGCTCTGCCGTTATCTGACAATTTAATTGTATCAAGATTTTACAGCTCGGCTGAGATATTTGGCATTTGATATGATAAGGCACTTTTTGACCGGGTGTAAAACCTGTACAGGGTGTTGTTAAAACAATTTCTCCATCGGATTCGGTGATTCGGTGAGAAGAAGTAAGGGGCTATAAGAATATAATGAATGCATTAAACAGAAACCTGTATTAATTCGAATTTTTTATTTGAAAAAAATTATGATGTTTTTACGGATGCTCAAGTAATAAATCATAAATTACGTTAGTTTTTTCCGGCTGTGATGTTAAGCAATAATTTAAAATTTGAGGTGTACATGTGCTTCAAATACCCTGAGTTATGTCTGTCGTGTAGCAAATGAGCGAAATATTGGAGCTATATCTAAATCTGAACCGATTTTTCTTAATTTCAATAGGATCCTTGGGCCAAATAAATGAGATGTGCCATGCATAAATCAGCTCAGAAAATGATTCAATGCATATTCTCATTTGCCTGTTACAAACATATGCTCAAAGACATACTACCATATACCACAGTGTGGTGAAGGGTATAACAAATATAATTTTTTAGGAGTATCACAAGATTACTTTTTTATAAGAAAATATTTATCTAAAATTACCATTAACATAGATGTTAAAAATCATTTTTCTTCAATTATCACATACATAAATAAAAATTTACTAGAATTATCACAAGATCTATATATTTTGCTCATAGAGGATTTCAATCTATCGAAGAGGTCTTCTTTCAATAAAATGCATATTTAAAATGTATTTTAAATATGCATTTTTGCATTTTTTAAAATGCATGAAACCTCTGGAAACACGCTTTATTTAACATGCATCGGAATGTCCTATTTGAATGTCAAAATATGCACCGTTTTGTTGTATGATTTGTTGCCACTTAAAAGGTAACTTCATAATGCCTCTCTCATAGGAGTCCTGCTCTCTATTTGCAAAAAACTCAGGTAGTCGATATTCACAATCCTCCCTAGATACCAATTTCTTATCATTAAACAAATTTTGCAATGCAAGAAAAAGACGATAATCGCTTGGTGCCAAGTCAATGTATAGCGGATGCATTAAAACATTCCAACCAAGCTCCCGAAGTTTCTAGCGAGTCACTATTAGCCGACACCTCTCCTGTTGTCTGGCCGTTTCTGTTCAACTGTTATCTTCAAACGGTCCAGTTATTCACAGTAGAGATCAGAGTTTAGGGTTTGGCCATATGGAAGCAACTCATAATAAATAATCCCTTCCAGTCCCACCAAATGAATAGCGACTTCTAACAGCCGGTCAACTTCGATCATTTATCCGATTTTATCGACATTTTTTTGAATTTCATATTCTCCAAACTAATATATAAAAGTATCAATTTTCGAAACTTCACTTTATACATTCAATTGAAAAGTTCTCATAGTTCGAACAGTATCTGTTCTATTAAATTGGGCACATACTGGACTTTCGTTATGCAGTACAGATAATTGAATTATACTATGGAAATATATTTTATTAATGTCCAAATAGAACATTATTTAAATATATCCAGCAATTTGGTGCAGCTATATTTTGCCGCGAATTTTCCAGTAATTTTTCATGCTTACGGTTCTATTAGTAAACAACACAATATTTATAATATATTTTTTTTTTTGAAATATTTTCCCACTTACCTCACACAATTCAGTATTTGCCGATAAATCCAGTTTATTTTTAATGACAATTCTTTGGTGAAATTCTTTATTGACTTTCCTGGGATGTTGTATCATCAACTGTAGGCCATAGTCACAGTCACCCAATGGACAATGACTTGTTGCCGCAGCATCAGCTGGTATTAGGAAGCGAAACTTGTACCTGTAATCGGTGTGAGGCTGCAGTATCTGCTGCTCTGTGACCAGTTCAAGTTGTTCACAAACATGTTTCTGGCTATCGGTGTAAAGTGTTTTCGTTGAATGCAACTCCTTGCTGCTGAAGTCGTTGTGTACAATTTCATCGGTTGCAGCCGTTTTGTCCAAATCAAGCCAGGCCAACTTTGTTTGACCATAGAATTCCAAAAGAATTGCTAATGACGAAAGAAAATGTAGCTGAATAGGTGGTTCTTGCAAGAACTTGGTTTAATGTTTTGCAATTGCCTTGTGGAGGACATTGCAAAACTACAACGTCATTAGACTGGGTTAGCCATAATTATATGTCTCTACATGGCAAAATGTTTTTTTTTTGTTCAACACGCACTTTCAATTTGTCGCTGTTTTAAGAGATGCAGTGTGACATGACCCTCCAGCACCTCACCACTGTAATAAATGTTTGTAGCGCGTGTCAATTCAAATTTACACGAAATTGACATGATTTTCAGTTGACAATGTGATACTATTTTTTTCGATTTTGTTTATTTTTACTAGGAAAATTATTGTTTACAGCCACGATTAGATTTCAAATTGTTGCAATATTTTTTGTCACGGGAATCATGGCCGCATTGAAATAATTTAATTTTTGCTAATCGCCTCGGCGTTACTTGTTTTGAGTGTTAACGGTTGGACGCTTCAAACGAAACTGTTACCAAAAACTCAAATCAGATCTGTTTATCTCCTCTCAGTTGAACTTTCTTTTGTTTGCTGTCACGTTTTATTGTTGGTTGTTTGGAGGAGCAGTAGCAGCAGCAGCAACATCACCAGCAGCAATAAGACAACACTTGTTGTTCAGTCGCTTGCTTTTAGAGAACACAATTTACGAAACAGCTTGTAGGCATTGTATGGCGTTTGCGACTTTGGTTGCATTGATGCACTGCCTGGATAACATCTGTTTTATTGAGGATGAATGAGTTTCGAATGGAAATAACAATGCACAGTGGGTACAATATATATACAAGTATTTATCAATAATGTATACATACAAACATATATATTTTGAAAAAAAAAAAAAATCTACCACATTTTTATTTTAATGAAATAATAATTTCCGGCCCTATAATGTATATAGGTTGGGAAAAAAACCATTAGGCCAGTCGTCGAAAATGTCGATAAAATTGGAGAAATATTCAAAGTTGACCGGTATATTAGCAGTCGTATCATCGCCCAGGAGGTAAAAATCGACCATAAAACTGTTTTAATCCATTTACACAAAGCTGAATTCAAAAAGAAGCTCGATGTTTGGTTACCACACCAATTAACAGATAAAAAATTAAGATAGATCGAATTTCCATCTGCGAAACCTTGGCCAAACGGAATGAGATAGACCCATTTCTTAAACACATGGTGGCTGGAGATAGAGAAATGGATCACATACGATAACCCTGTGCGAAAACGCTAGTTGTCAAAGAGCGGTGAGCACCTCAAACGATGACCAAACCAGGACTAACGGCCACGAAGGTTCTGCTATGCATTTGGTGGGACTGGAAGGGTTATTATTTTTTATGAGTTGCTTCTATATGGCCAAACGCTAAATTCTTATCTCTACTGTCAACAACTGCACCGTTTGAAGACTAGAAACGGCCAAAATTTGACAAAAGAAGAGGTGTCGTGTTCCACCAGGACAACGCTTGGCCACACACAGTAACTCGCCGGGAGCGAGTCACCGGCCTTGACATCAAGCGATTATCATCTTTTTCTTGCATTGCAAAATTTCTTTAATGATAAAAAATTGGTATCTAGGGAGGAATGGTAACTACTATTTGAACAGTATTTGAACAATACGGTTGCTGCTGAATTGTGAAGAAATATAGCCGATTTGCAAAGTAAATAAATATATAAATAAATAGCGTAGGTACCTGCATTACTCCTCTATTACTGTTTCCTCTTGGTTGAGGATATTTAATGTTCAACAAAGTTTATTAATTTTTTTAATTTAACACCAAATTGTGGAAAATTGCATTCAGGCCATGAAAATAACCTAATCAGTAAATATAAATAATTTTTGATCAGTTTTTCGGCATCAGAAACTTTGATTCTGCTGAATTCTATGCTTGGTACAAAAATGCATCTGAAACCACTGTGCATTTCATAAATGAAAGTAAGATTATATTGTTTAGTAGCTGTGAGCAGAAACAATCTGTCTCTGGTAAATTTACAATTACCAGAGACAGATTGTTTTGATTTGTTTTGTGCAAAATGAGTTATCTAAATTGCTTAGTTATGGAGATGTGAATTGTTAACACAAAATGTTTCCCCTTTTTATCCAAAAGGTGGTTAAATTGTTGGTGCATGAGCTAATTACCATATCGTTGTGTTTTTGTTTATAACAAAATTATAATTATTACCAAATTAATGAACTTTAATTATGATGTATTGGTTTCTGATTGTCAGTATTTTGATGATGTTTATATATGAAAAAAAAAAATCGAAACGAGGCATATGGGGGAATACATACGTGTACTTTTTTACGCTGAACTGAATAAGATGTTTGTCAAGTAGAAAGGATATTGAAATGAAAAATATAACTATTTTGTGTTAGGAAATCCATGGAGTTACGAAGATAGGGTAAATTTGAAAACAAATATATTTATACAGTTTTTATAAGAGCAAACCAGGAATATAAACAGAATATAATATATACAAAACCAATGCCTTCAATCATGACCTTGTCCTGAACGCACATTTTGCGCAATAAAATGTTATTGTATCCTCCGAAAAATAAACAAACTTCTGTGTATCATATATGATATGCGATATACGCATAAACTTCGAATTTCTACAACAATACAAAAAGGAAGTGCTATCACAACAAAACTAGGATACAAAATTATTTCTTTGCTTCCATATCTCTATCAAAGACTTTGGCCTGCCTCAAATATGGAGTAACCAAAGATATTCTGTGTTAGACAGTCAAACTGTCATCGGAATAGCAAATAAATACAATTACCATGTCTGCTAATATGAAAAGAAAATAAAAAAACTGCCAAAAAAGTTCAAATTTCGCATCCCCAATAATTCCCTCCTCCATCCACATAAAGACAAAGGATAAACGGGACGACAAATACTTGTGGCGCCATCGTATTGATTCGCCAAAAAAGAAAAATACGACAAAATCAAAACGACACAAACTAAATGAGTGAATTATAAAAGTAATAGGAGCTACATAAACAGTTGATATTGGTCGACTTTGTAGATAATTAAAATTTAGGATATGTATGTGTGCCAGGGAGGCACAGAGGATAAATTCTATCCTGACAGAAAATGTTAAATATGGTCCCTGTCCATATTATAGATTTTAAAAGTTTATTGGTTTCGGTTCCACAAATGGCTAAATTCTTCTTGAAAATATTTTGACAAAGTCTTCCCGACGATTTAGGATAGTTTGAATAACCCCCCATATCGCTATTTTTAATGTTTTCGATATATATTTTTTCTTAAGTGACATCTATTTTGAATTCAGAATTCCAGGTGAATGAAAACGTCTTCCCATTTTTTTTAAATAGACTCTAACAAAATCCCGCTTAATTTTTGATATATGAAAGTTCATGGTCTAGTGATCCAACCCGAGTGTTTAACGATTAACGAGTTTTATATATAACGAGAATTAACGAATTGTATATGCACGCCCAGACAAACGACGTACATATATCTGCATGTCACCGACAACATGATAAACCCAATATACCAACCCATATTTTTTGAACCCTAAGGGGTGAAATGATATCAATTGTTATGCCTCAGACACAGACAACACAGAACCCAGCCACCCCTCGTACTATGTCATGACATTGTTTATGGCTGCTGGCAGGACGCTTTGCTTTGGGTGCTTAAGAGCTGTGGTGCCTGAATTGGCACAACATTTGCCAAAGGATGCTGTAAGGAGACGGTTGTGTTTTGTTGCCAAACAAAAGAAGCAAGTGTTAAATTTATTTTCTCCTTTAAGTTACGCGAATCGTTCGGATAAGAAAAACAAAATACAATTAATTTGCAATTATTTTAAAAGTATAATTTTACCACGAAATGCCAACTACTTGTGAATTTGAATTGGATCGTATAAATCCAATTTATTCATCGGGAGAATATATCAATGGGCGGATATTATTGCGTACGGAAAAAATTAAACGTGTAAATGGTAAGTTCAGTTAATGGAAACACATCTTCCCACAACGTTCTTGGATTACATCACTCACATACTTTATAGCCGTCTATGTTACGCTGGAAGGAGAGGCGAAAGTTCAATGGTCGATTAGTGGTCGAGAGTCTGCGAGTTATTGTGGCCACCAACAATATCTGTATTCACGTGCAAATGTTTTCGACAACTCCGATTTTGCCGCAGGTTTACATGTGTATGTCTTGACATTGCGTATACCACCCGATTGTCCCTCATCCTGCAAAGGACCCTATGGTTATATAGCCTATAATATATCATTGGTTATAGATAAACAAAGGACATTTGATGAAGTGTTTCGTAAACCAATTTGTGTTGTACAAACGTTGGACTTGAACTTCCATCCGGAGTATGCGGTAAGTGCGGCATGAATGACTCCAAAGGGAATTGTAATGTTGTCCTTTTGTTATGTGTGTGTGTTTTTAGTTACCCGTCAAAGCGGAAAATGTCAAATATCTATGCCAATGGCCCTGTACCTCGGGTCCCCTGTGCTTTAGCCTCATGTTGCCCTATGCCGGTTTTGTACCCGGCCAACACATCAAATACTTTCTTGAGCTAGACAATCAGTCACCGCATTATGACATTGTAGGCGTGGAGGCGTCCCTCAAGCAACATTACGTATTTTTGGCGCGTAAGCCGATGAAACGCAATTTCCACACCAAAACCTTGGTGAAGAGCAGCATCGAGGAGAGTACACTGCGCCTGACCAAACGTCTGTACGAGGGCACCCTCTATGTGCCAAACGACATACCAAGGTCAACGCTGAATCTCAATTACATTGTCTTCATACACTATATGCTGCAGGTCAAGCTGAAAACGGGTGTGTTCCACTATGACACTGACATTTCGGTTCCAGTGATAATTGGCACGGAGCCATTGCGCCAATTTCAAGAGGAACAACAGAGGTTGCGACGGAACTACAATAGGAATTGTAACATTTGTACGGGTAGCAATAGCAGCAATCGAAGTGATACGGCCAGTAATCATAGTTCTGGATCGGGTAATTTGGTAACAACGCAACCCACAATGAGATTGCGGCGAGAGTTGGAAGAACTATTGGAATCTCAGGAGCAGGAAGAAGAAGAAGTTATGAGTGGTACACATTTGAAAGATTGTTTGGATGATGAACCGCCGTCATATGACAGTTGTTGTAAGTACATATTTGTATTGGTGTTTGGAAAATTCTAAAGGAATTTTGTGGTATAAAAATACAAAAAAAAAAAAAAAACAAGGAAGGAAAGTAATAAAGTCGGACGGGGCCGAACCAAGTATTAGAACAATAAAAATCCACCATAATGGATTTATATTTAATTCATTTAAGAAATGTTTTCTTTACACACATTCCTGGCATATATTTATATACTGATCTCTATTAATATGTACATTTCAGTGCCGCCATCATTTAGTTTTGCCACCACAATGGGAAGCCAGGCTGCCATGGAAGTATCGGAAATAAAACGTACCGAACAGCAACGAATCAATATACAACTGCCACAATTTCCTGGTTATAACACCTTCAATTCGCACACCCAATCGCCATGCTATCCATCCGATTCGCTGCTGGAAGATGAACATTTTTATAATTCGTGCCGATCGTTGATGACAGATCGTACTGGGAGATCATTGGATACTCTAGATGTTCTTAGCAATGAAGAACATGAAGAAGGGGACGATGGAAATGGAGATGCTAATGATGATAATGAAGAAGAAAATGACGATTGCGATGAAGAGAATGCCGAAGATGAAGAAGAGAGGGCTGAAAATCTTCCAAGTGAGAATAGTGTAGATGATGAAGGGGCAGATGGAAATATAGATGAAGGCAATGTCCAATTAGAAGACAACAATGTCGCTGCTTGCGAAGTTGTAGATGGTAATGCAAATGAAGACAATTAAAATGTTTACATTAGAAAAGAATAAAACAATGGGAACATACTAATCAGACCATTAGCAATAGAGCAATATATACACATACAATAGGACTTAAATACATTTAACTAGTATTAGTATTGGTTTGGATTATTAATTACATTCCCTGTCAATACGTAAAATAATATTTTATAAATATTAATTAACCAAGCCAAATATATAATCATAAAGAATAATTATTTTAGTATACGATAATCGTTAAAAAGGATTCAAAAAATGGAAAATATTTCATTAGTCATTGCTGCCAAAACATAATAATTATAATATTTTTCATTTTATTAACACATTGTTTGTGAAAGAAACTATGACTGAAAGTTAAATAAATTTAACCCAAAATTCCCAGTAATGTTTACGTCCAAAAATTACGTCCATTTCGATTTGCTTTAATTTTATAACAGATGTAAGTTAATGTGCCGAAAAATTGCCTTTCAATTAAATGAGATACCTCTAAAAATATTGTATTTTTAAAATGAGAGTAATAATAATTATTTTATATTATACATAAAGATACTCATTAAATATAAGCTTAAATCTAGAATCTTGTTAATAAGCGCCTTTACATTGACAATAAATTATGAAGACTATACCAATATGAGAAGTATTTTGTTCGATATCTTAAAAAAATTGTTATCATATGTAGTAAATTTGTATATTCTTGCAGGTTTTGGAACAGATAGATATATTGTAAAAGTTGTCTGTTACATGCTATTAATATAATGTTAACAGTTGCAAAGCTTTTGAATGATAGCTTTCATTAGCTAAACCGATGTTAAGTCATCTATCTGTAAACGCACACATTTACATAGCGAACTGAGTTGCGACTTTTGGTCTAAATCGGTTCAGATCCCATAGGTACTTTCCATTCTGCTTAGTATTATTAACGAAAATAATTATACCTAGTATGGGTATTGGAATTTTGGAAACGGCAAAATGACACCAATAGCGGGGAATTTAAAAATTACATATTTTCTAGAAGGACTGATTTCAGTAGGGGAAATTACATACGATTCTAAATAATGTTGGAAGACATGTATGATGAATAAAATCTGGTCAATATCGGAATTGTTTCATAAATGAATTCCAAAATCATGGTTTTCTATTATTAATCCGGGGTATAAAGCTGACTTAATATTAACTCTACTAAATGAGATTTGTCTTAGATTCTGATATATCCTTCTAATTATGTGTAATCTATGTGTATACAATTCAAATCCCAATAAATCGCAAATTCAAATTTTACTATTCATTCAAAATATTAATTAAATTGATACGCTATACTTTTCTACGAAAATTTATGGTTTATTGGATTACTTGAATTGTCATTAATTTCTTTTATTAGAATTCCCACAGCAGAACTAAAAAAATGCTCGGGCCTAATGATATTCAATTGATATCGGATTTTGTTTTTGGCAGTAACAAATTTGTTCAATACAAATACGAATTTAGGAAAAGTGATAAGATAAAAGTCCGGAACTGTGTACAATATTGTGTTCGGACACCAAAATTAAATAATACTAGAAAAATAATTCGAAAAAGGTTTCAGTTTGCGCTAGGACAGTGCCGTGAAAGGTTCTTAATATATATCTATCCGAAATGAATTTGATTTCGTGTTGTTTACAGCTGGAGAATTCCAGCGTTAGTTACCGACCCGGTGAAGTGATAAAAGGCTTGGCAGTTTTCAATGTGAACGGTAGCAGTGCAATTCTAATCAAAGGTGAATTGAATGAAAGTGCGAAACACTTGAATTGTGACTCATTGATTGATTGAACGAAAATAATAAAAATAATGTTGTGCTTTATCGATTATGTTTTTTTTTTTAATACAGCCTTATCAATACAATTTTCCGGCTATGCCAGTTGTAAATGGGAAAAAGAACAAGCCAAAAACAAAAAGAACGCAAAGCCCAAACCCAAAGAATACTATGTCAATCGTGAGGATTATGTTTTCACCAAAAACTATTTGCTAGGCTCAGAAGAGGCTAATCCCACTGCCATAACTCCTGGAATTTATAATTACAACTTTATGGTTCAAATACCCATAAATGCGCCATCTTCATTCAATGGTGCCTGGGGTTCAATTGTCTATGAACTTCAAGCCCATGCCGATTACATTACCAATTTGGATTGTTTGTGTTGCTCCGTGATTACAGTAGAACAACTGAAAGATCTCAGATGTTGGGCGCCAGCAATGCAAAATCCAAATGAAAAATCACAACGTGAACCAAAATCGTTTTTAAAATTTTGGCGTAATCCGCTTCAAGTCTATGCCAATATACCGCAAAGTGGTTACGTGCCAGGCGAATGTATTAGTGTACACATTAAAGTTGCCAACCATGGCCATTTGAAATTAAAGGACATCACCAGTAAACTGAATCGTATTGTCACCTACAAGGGTAGCTGGAAAGAGAAGAAGTCACAAGAGACTCGGGAAGTCACCGCCATTGCCTGCAACGTTTACAGTATGTTTGGACAAAATTCCAGTGATATACAACACATACAACAATTGGTGGTACCGAAAACTGTTCCTACTCTTGAATTCAGTGAATGCAATTGTATAAGTGTCACCTATGAGGTGGAAGTGAGTGTTAGTGCCCAGCGCAAGTTACGATCGGTTTGTGCAATTCTGCCAATTGTTGTGGGTTCAGTTTCGTTGAGGAGTGATGTGAAACTTGTAGAGGAAAATGTCTCAAGTAATCATGTATCCACAATAACGGTGGCCAGATCTATGGATGAATTAAATTTACCCTCTAGCTGGGATATGCGTGAACAAAATCAGAATATTCAAGCAATGGATGAAATTAGTGTTTCCATGATGTCATTAGGTAAGTTTTGGAAAGGTTAATTTTATATAAATATGAAATACTTTATTTTGTACACTTCTCGAATCTTTTTAATTTAATTTGTTTTTGTTTTTTTATTTTCAGCATCATCTTTTCGAGAAGCTGAATATATGACTGCTGTAAAAATAAACAAAAAATCAAAGAACAACCTAAATGGCGAAGTTACAGATTTTAAGCCAAAATATCTATATTTTGACCTTCCAGAGGAAATGCAACCCCATTTAGAAGATGATATGCCAACAACTAGTCAATCCCAGTCGAGACCAATAATAGTAGCAAAATCTACAGATGCAAAATTTTAGACTGATCTAAATATGTAAGACTTAAGTTAGTGGATTTATTTATTATTTAGAAATAATGTAAGAAATAAAAAGTAAAATAAGAAACTGTTTGAATTGTATTTAATGTAAAGGATTTGATAGTGAAAAATAAATATGCTCTTTGTGAAAGTGAATGATCATAATAATGGTTTATTCTGTGAGACATTAGCGGATAGCAAATGGGTGTAATTTAAAATAATCGAATTTTAATTAAAAAGGAGATAACTGAGAAAATGATCCGAAGGAGATAACTAGACAATTTTAAACAACAAATTTTTTACGAACTTCAAAAATTAAATGTCATTAAATGTCAAATACATCTAATCACATTTTTGGTTGATCTCAATTTATTGGATATTTGTTAGTAAACAATATTCAGTTTCGAATATGCTTTGTTTTATCATCAAGAAGTCTTTTACCTTAAAAAAGTAAATAAAATATGAATATTTGATAATGGTTTCTATGTATACCTTCAACATGTTATATTCAATTGATGAATTCAAATTATGATTTGTATGGTAAGAATACTAATATTGATATAATAAAATGTTATACATGTATAATACTAAATAACAATTGGTAAAGATAATTTATATGGCGATTTGATATACATGAAAATAAAATGACTCATTTTTGCACTACGGAAGAAAATCGAGGTTAATGGTTAATAGTGTGATATTTCATCGTATTAGGAAGAGCAGCAGGATACTATGGAAAATATTACTAAAACTTTTAAACCCTTCTGAAAATATAATGATGTCCTTGGAACCATGGTTTTTTGGATCCACCAGAATCCAAGTATTAATTAACAATTGTTGAAAAAAATCACTCATATTCATTCAAGTGGTTTTTATTTTGTATAGGGTATCAACAATTTAGAACAGTATCATTTTATAAAAATTGAAAGTAAAAAAATACTGTTTTATATTTATCAATCGATGTATGCATCAAATTTATCAGCATAACCTAACTGTCTGTCGCATACCTGAATGGAAACGATGCCATCATAGCTTCTTCAAAAGATGGAGGTGCTGAATTTAATGAAACAATGAAAAATTATCAAAAGAATTATTATTTTCTCCGCTGTTTAATACATACTTAAATCTCCATATGATGGTAGATCAGCGATGCAATTTACCTCATTATTATGCAGCTGATTGATATGACCATTATTGAGATTTTGTGACAAAATTATTGGGGTATTTGCAATAACATTCGCTATCGATTCCTGTTGAATACTCTGCATAGAAGGCACATTGACGCTTACCGCCGATACCTCTTGCAAACTTTGTATAAGTGGCACATTGCCAATCACAATTGGCAATAATATACAACTGTTGTTGTAGCACGCTGCCGTTAATATATCAACATGTAGAAAATGTTTCACTTGTATTATACCCTGATATCCAGTGTCCGGTGCTAAGCTGGGTAGCGCCAACGTTCCCTTGTTCTCTCGATTGGAAAGACGTAAACAGGAGTACATGAATAATTCCTTTGATATCACCAATTGCTTTTTTCGCTCTTTATAATAGGGAATTTTGGCAATATAGGTTATCGCTTCGACCAACATGATTTTGTAGCCACATATATCGACCATTGATTGATTGTTTATTTGCAAGGAATAGGGAAGAACTTGATTGGAGGCATAGCCACCAAATGGTATTGTTAGTTTGTAAGTAATTTTGGCACTGGACCAACAGCTGGGACAAAAGATTTCTTCGCCAATGAGTGGAACCTAATTTAGGATGTGAATGTTATTAGAAATTTCCTGAATTATTTATTATATTCATAGCAGTTTACCTTTAACGCTGGAAATAAATTTAGATTTACTTTATTCAAAATAGTCAACATTTTACCAAAAGTATTATTCGCCCGATGTGGTCTATCCACAATTAACAACAACTCATAACGAATTTCCCCATATTTGCCAATATGTGAGGTGGGACACGATTTGGGTATGCGAAAACTAAATTTAAATAAATGGCCACCTGTTGACAGGGTGCCTTCTCCTCTAGCAATGACTCCACGATCAATATATACCTCATCGGCTCGGTAGGCATAACTTTCGGATACTTTTTTGCTAATAAATTTTCCATAACGTCGTGTATCGTTCCAATAGACTTTTGCCTTACCCAAAAGACGTATTCGTATATCTGTATGGGAGGTGTTTGGCAGAAAATCAGACAACATGTGGAATATCCCAAACAGTGCTACTTACTACGAATGTCTTTGTCACTGGTAGTTGTTAAAAACACTGATCCTTCAATTGTTTGTCCAGCAAAATATCTTGCATCCGGGCGATTTAGTTTAAATTCACATTTTATAGGCATAGCAAAGATTCTATAATATATATAATTATTTCCTGTACATTCCGCTCAGTAAAGAAGAAAAAAAAAACGTTATTGCTTGATATCCAAAATAATACTGTTGCTTCCATATGGAAAAATTTGTACATTGAGATGGAAAATAAACATTAGGGAAAAACACAGGTATACAATTGTTTTCAATTTATTCTCAGAATCTGTGAGAGAGTACTGGTTTTTAAGAGAATTCATGCTAGATGTTTTCATTAAGTGATTAATTTGTATGGAAAATAAATAAGTAATTCCATAGTGGTAAGGGTCGTTTACAAGTTACCCTAAGCATTTATAAGTTTTTCTTCGGAAAATTGTATATCATTGTCCACTACCCCTGAGCAATGACATACTGCAGAATTAGATTCTTGTCCATTGTCCCATACTGTGTCATCTTAAATGTTGTGTTCTAATAAAAATACTAAACGATATTTAAATATATAGACCACTGTATTAATTTATCTTCCATGTCATTAATTTGAATGTAAATATCATCGTCCCGCTCTCAGTGACTATGTCTTCCTTGGATCATTTTGAAAATATACTATACTCATTTTTTAAATTCAACTACAATTATAATATAGAATCCCAATCTAACGATTCGGCATAATCTTCATATAAAAAATTCCAAATTCTTACCATTTTCTAATAAAAAACAGAGACAATTTTTTCTAATTTGTTGAAATCATAATTTTTATTAGAAAAATTGTCTTTGAAAGTCTTTTTGCATAGAGTTAGCCACCTCGTATTGTAAAAATGCAAATTTAATTTCGTCCATTATAATATCGGTACACGGGATATAATGGTTGAAAATCCTTGGCATTGTTAAATTCATTTGCTTCCGGGTCTTGAAAAGGTGTTGGGTGTCTAATTGCTTCTTCAAATGCTGGTGGAGCTAAGGGAAATCCATGAACATTTCAATATATAATATATATCACATTATTGAAAAAAAAACATACCTAAATCCCCATAACAAGGAGGCTCATCCTCATCACTTTCTTCTCCAGAATACGATGCCTGGATATGTGGTGGGGCATTTACTTCATGACCGCTGTAATCCTCATCATCATCTGATTGAATTTCTAAATTAGCTGACGATGGCAGAGGTGTGGCATCTTGTAAACTTTCCTTTATCGGTATGTTACCAATAACTATTGGCACCGAAATATTCTTATTGCGATGGCAACCCTTGACAATGATTTCAATTTCTAAATAATGCTCCAAACGTATTATGCCCTCACGGTCAGTATCCGGTGGCATTGAGGGCAAATCAATTTGACCAACATATTGACGATTGGACAGACGTAAACATGCATCGGAATATTCTTCATCGGCCACTGTGGTATGACTATCTAGCTCCTTGTATTCTGGGGTATTAGCCACAAAGGTCATGCATTCCACAAAGCGCACCTTGTATCCACTTATATCTGTCATTGATTGATTTTGTACATTAAGTGTGTATTCAAGGGATTGTCCGGAGGCATATGCTCCATAGGGTACATTCAAAGATAATAAAATAGTTCCACTTGCACATGGCCAACAGCCAATGGAACTGGTTTCATCTTGTTGCAGGGGAAGCTGGAATAAAATCACATTAGTTGGATTGTATGGAAACAAATTCGCCACTTACCTTGAACTCGGGATTCGCATTCAAATCGACCCTTTTCAACACGGTCAATGGTCTCGTGAAAACATTGTCATAACGATATGGCCGATCCACTCGTAGTTCCAGAAAATAGCGAATATGTCCGTGATTACCACGACACGATGTGGGACAAGATTTGGGCAAGCGAAACTGGTAGTTAAACACATAGGTATCCGGTGGCAATATCTCTTCGTCATAAACCACAATAGTTTCGTCGATGTACACCTCGTTTGCTTTGTACTGAGCTGTTCCACTGTCTTTTTCCGCTTCGCTCCAATGGACTTTAGCTTCACCCAATAGACGTATGCGAATATCTAACGATATTATTAACAAATTTATTTATTTTATTTAGTATTTTTGGTTCAAAGAAAATAAACTCACTTCGTATTGTCTTCTCTTTGGTTGTTCTCAGCAGAACTGTTCCAATTATCCATTCACCACTGAAGTAAACCCCATTTCTTTGATTTAGACGAAATTTGCACTTTGATGGCATTTCGAACGATCGGTTCCTAAATGACTGAATTCGAATTGATAGTGTCGTATTGTGGTTCTAATATCATTATTTTTTCTAATCCGCAAAAAACAATGCCGCCAAAAATAGCATGAAAAACATCTCTCGCACATTGCTGGAAAATACAATCAATAGGTGGTCGATGTGACCTAGAAAAACAGAGGAAAATTGCCAAAGAGAATTTCATAGTTGAGAAAAAAAACAACGCTTTTGTTGTTATCAAAGAGAATTTATAGTTTGGCCCTTGAAATACCCAATTGGAAATGCATGCCAATTCGAAAGAGAAGACAGCAAAATTAAATTACACTAATGGAAAAGAAATAGCTTCTCATTTCGAGTTCGCAATCTTAGAATGTAGTTAGTAATACATACATATATAAATCAAATGTAAAATTTTCTTCAAATTTTGGGATTTACCTCTTACAAATTAAAAAATAATTCCATTTGGCCAAAGGAACTTATTAGTTGAGAAAAAAGAAAGAACTTGATGGGACCTTTGAAAAATCTAATGGAAAATTTTTAAAATTAAAAAAAATTATAAATTTTAGTAAAAAATGTCTTCAAATATAATTGGATTTTTTTTAAATAAAAAAAAATAAATAAAAAAATTATAAATTTTAGTAAAAAATGTCTTCAAATATAATTGGACTTTTTTTAAATAAAAAAATTATAAATTTTAGTAAAAAATGTCATTCAAATATAAGTGGCATTTTTTCTTCCAAATATAAAATTTTTCGAAAATAACATTTTATCAAAACATAGGAATTTTTTGTCAAAAAAGAAAAAAAAATAAATAAAATTGTCCAATTGGGTATATCAAACAGCTTCCTCCAAAGACATATGGAAAGCAAGAGAATTTATCTACAACACAAACCTATGCATATCAGCTGATAGTGTGCGTATTGGTTGTATGTTTATATATAGATGTAGACAAATAAGTTATACGACACATATGTCAATGTAAAGACAATCCTCTTTATGTCAAACAGACAATGGTGTGTGGCATTGTATTAGACATTTTAAATTATTTTGAATATATTTAACATAATATTGCGTTGGATTTCATTTTAAGGTTCCACTGTTAAATTCATATTCTTTGGCTTATGTTGTGATGTTTTAGTTCTAAAATACATACAGATTTATATCAAATATATAGAACAGTATAAACAACAAATTTAATTCAAATATTTATACGAAAAAGTTAGCTAGTCGATTTTTTTGAGAAGGTTATTAAAAATCCATTTTGACTTAATGCATTTGTTGTTATTTATTCTGGCCCATAGCGTAGAGGTGTATTTTTTCTTTGATGACAAAAGATAACCTAGCTTGTATAATTGTACCATTGTACCATCATTTACAATACCACAATTTCCATAAATATTACGAACAAAGTACTATTTTCAATATTGCTAGCAATTTCTAAAAAATCCCAGATTAATAATTTCGAGCTGCTATTAAAAGAATGTCAAATAAATATATTATGGTGGATAAGTACACATGTATATAAACGTTGAATTTATTACAATAAAGTCAACTTTATTAATTATAAAAATATTTTTGTTAGATAAATATATTTACTAATGTGAAAAAATACACAAAATGCTCATACAAATACAAATCCAATATACATATACATGGACTGATTTTTCAACCTTGTAAATTCATCAATGTTTGCTAATAATGACATTTAAGTGGCGGACCTAAAGTATACTAAATATAAATTTGGCAGAATTATGAGGTAGACATGGTGTAAAAATGTTGAATAAATTCTTTGGAGCAGTTGATGTCTTTCATTCGAGATATTCCATGTCTTTATATTAGTGCACTGAATTTTTATTGGGTTTCATTTTTATGAGGATACACTGGATATAGGGGCCTAAAACCAATTACATTTGAGTGGGAATTTGCATCGGGATCTTCAAAGGGAGAGTGACTACGTATGGCCTCTTCGAAGGATGGTGGTTCTGAAAATAAACATTCATATTCTCAAATTAAATGAAATATTCCACAACAAATTTAATGACTTGAAACTTACTAAAGTCACCATACGATGGAGGCAAGTCACCGCCGACGGCATTCTCTTCGCTGGGTAAAAATGGTGCCGATGGTGCAATTTCCCTGAAATCGCTGTTATTTGTCATACTCTCCCGTATGGGTATGGTGCCAATGAATATGGGAACGCTTATGCTTTTATCAGCATGACAACCATCCACATATATCTCAAACTCCAACATGTGTCGAACACGTATTATACAGTCACCTTCGGTATCCGGTGGTAGAGGTGGCAAAATTAATTCACCCTCAAATAGGCGATTTGTCAGACGTAAACATTTATCGGAATGTTCTTGTGTGGCCAAAGTGGTGGTCTTTTCCCGTGTCTTATGGCGTGGTGTGTGGGCCGTAAATGTAATGTGTTCATTGAATTCCAAACCATAGCCATTTATATCGGTGTTTGATTGATTTTTGATTAGTAAAGTATAGTGTAAAGTCTGACCGGGTGCATAAGCCCCAAAGGGAACACTTAAGGTATAGTCGATGTTACCACCTGCACAGGGCCAGCATCCAATGGCGCTAGTTTTTTCAGCTTCCAGTGGTACCTAGTAAACGATGAAGATATTAATCGACATTCAATCATAATTTCACAACTTACCCTGTACATTGGGTTCAAATTCAAATCCACAGTTCTTATGACAGTCAATGGTTTTGAGAATTCATTGTCAAAGCGAAATGGCCTCTCTACAATCAGCCACAAGGCATAACGTATGTGACCATATTTACCCTCACACGAAGTGGGACAGGACAACGGCAGGGGTATATTGAAATTATAGGTATGCGTGCCTTTTGGCAAAACACCATCACCGCGTACTTGGGTAGAATTGTCTATGTACACCTCATTGGCACGATAATATACAGTACGGGTTCCATGATGACCATCAGATCTGCGATGACGTTCAGTTTCGCTCCAGCTCACTTTAGCCTCACCCACAAAACGTATGCGTACATCTAGCCGGATGAGAGTGCAATTTTAAAAATACACTGCAGACGTGTTCATTGTCCAACCGGGTTTTTTACTTACTTCGTACATCTTTGTCACTGGTGGTTTTCAACACAATTGAGCCACACACAACTTGGCCACTGTAATAGACGGCATTAGGACTATTCAAATTAAATTCACATGTTGACGGCATTTTACAAAAAAAAAAACAATTTCGTTTCAAAGGATGAATGAAATTAGTTGTCGCCAAACAAAAAATAAATATTGTCTAGTCTTTTTTTTTATTTATATAACGCCCTGCAATTTAGTCAGAATATTGTGCAAATTCCCAACTGAGTTTCAGTTGATACTGGCCGCAAATACGTAAATAACAACATCAAGTAACAACAAAATGGAAAACAACAAAAACTTGCATTCGCGTGAATTTTTGTTCTCGCTCGAATGCCGCCAGTTCGTTTGGCCGGAGAATGTGACATCATCAGTTCATGTTTATGTTCTCTTGGCTGTCGCACTGTGAGTATCGACCGGCAAGTAGAGCAAAAAAATATATATGCACACAGTCACACTGGGTGCTGATGCCGTTTATCTGTCGAAAACATTGTGTTTTTAGTATAAATACATTTTATAAAATATGTGTTAATAAAAAAATTTCCTACCTAAAACATCAAGCTTTGGTTGTTGTATCGTTTGTTGTACAACAACACTTGCTGTTTCCTTCTATTATTATACCATGGAGAAATGCAAAAAAATAATATTTCTCGATTTAAAACAATATATTTTGGGAAATTTCAAAGTTGAACCTTATAATAATACACACAATCTAACTTTTTATCGCTATTCTTCAACGACTCCAATGTGTTAGCATGGACATTCTCATTCTGCGAGTAAATAATAAGAGTCCATTGAGATTGATTTTATTCTCTTTTGTATCTTCAAAGTATTGGTTTGTATAAGAGTCTTTGGAGGGCTACGTAGGCAAAAGTGTATTCTGTCGATACTTTTGACGACATAATAATTAAAATCAGGAGAATTAAAGGATGAAAATAAATAACATTATAGGGTTTACAGTAGTCAGTTAATTTTGTCTGCTCTACCAATAATAAATATGTATTAAAAAAAGAAATTTGAATATATAAAATCGAAAAGTGTAAAACGTCTATATCAAAAACTTCTACATGTACGACTAATTTTTTGTGCGAACTATGGTCTGTGCTGCCAATTTAGCACTTTAAGTGCTAGATTTAGCACTTGAAAATCATTTAGCACCAAAAAAGTGATCTAGCACCTAGCACTTTTTTTAGCATTTTAACTTGTTCCTAATTTTTTCAAAATTCTCATATCCGAGTATAAAAATCAATGTAATTTATATAAATTTAAATGCCAGATATACTCCTCTAGGATATAATAACCACAACTTCTCGAAATAAAAAATGTAATTAAATGTTGTTTTATTTGTCCCGCAAAGTCTTGGTTGATTTGATTAGAAAAAATATTGACCGATTATTAAAAAACCTACATGCTTTTTCGTTGACTAAATTCCCTTCCCCTTAATTATTGTTTCATTGGTGTTCGGGTTATAAATGGGGCCTCTAGAGCGACTAGAAAATTTTACCACCTGAATATTATCCGATCACAGCCAAAAGGCTAAAGATTTTGCTTTCACTGTAACCGGAATTTATGCAAAATCTCATAGCTATCAACGCGACATTTCCACTTTTAGTGTAGTAATGGTAATACTAAACAATATTAGAGTAGTAGACCCCTGTAAATAGCTCGCACATCTCTAGAACGACCAGAAAGCAGCTAAATATTGACCGATATTACCAAACATAATAAGTGTTTTCTGTGGCCAGAACTGGATATGCAAATTTTCGCAACGGTCGCTTTACATCTGTGACCGTTACTTTGGTTACAAATGCTAACGGACACAGATATCTAGATTGACTCAGCTAGTTGATAAATGACCGTGTACTAAAAGGAGGGTCTATGACCAATAAAGTATAAAAAGTATTTTAATAAAATATAGATTTCATAATTATCTATAAACATTTTCCGTTATTTAAATTTTTAGCACTTTTTTCTGGCACTTTTCTAAAAATTTTAGCGTTTTTTGTCATATTTTTGAACAAAATCTAGCACTTTTTCTCAATGAAGTTTTGGCAACACTGTCTATGGTGCACTGTTTGCATGAATATCGGACGAACATATATCGCTCAATTGCCGCAAGACAGGCATAAATCAAAAATCGTGATTTTTGAGTTAATGATGCAGAATTGTTCGATATATCAGACCTTATTTTGTATAAAAAATACAGATAAATATCTCTTTCACGCTCTGACTGAGAAGCTGTAGAAGCTCCTCTGTTCCTTGTATGAGTAAATTTAAAACTTAAATCGCATTATCTCGATTTGATTTTGATTTATGCCGGTTTTGCAGCAAATGAGTGATAAATGGCTCAGATCAAAACTCACAACACGTCATACTAGTCTCAAGTCGGCAGATAGAGCTGATAAATCGTTATATATTTCTGGGGTCTTTGAGCTTTACAATTGTAATATTTTATAACATCGTGGGTCATGGATTACAAATGACACGAGGTCAAGGTCAAAATTTCATATTTTTGTGAAGATAATTTATATTTAAAAAAACGTTATATAACATTGACATGCATCAAAATATTGAAATATTATTTTGTATTTTTAGTTCGCAATGTGTGCACATGTTCTTACCAAAAATTATTATTTTTGCTCCACTATTTGAAGTAGATGTTGGCCGCGTTTTTCAACCAAATTGGCTGTAATCTAGAATTTTGAATATAAGTTGGGTGTGAAATCTTCATACCAAAAACTATCAATATTGACTTATTTTTCGGGGTAGGCCACATATAAACGAACCCCCCATTAGTTGGTAGTGTGGGGATGTTGGGCACGTTTTCCAACCAAATTGACTATAATTCATAATTAATATCGACATGCCATCGTTGTAAAACCAATATACATAAAAATACGATTTCTTGCTAATCTGATGTAAAATACTCAAACTATTTGGATATATAGTTGCATTCTATTTAATTTTCAAAATTTCACATTTGTAATTAGTGGCCAAAGCTCTACAAAATGTGTTAAAAAATAATTTGATTAATTAAATTAAAAAAAAAATGACCGCCGTTTTCGATCCACCCTATTAAACTTTTACGTTTTTCTTGCAGAATAGTTTTCGTGTTAATAAATAAACACTGAGTATTTCATATGATCAATTTTGGATTTTTACAATTTAACCTATAAAGTCGTAATATTGAATTTAAAGTTTATGTTATATGAAACTTAAAAAGTATGGCCTTTTTTATCGTAACAATTATTATTGGAATTATGGATATATAGAAATATATTCATATGTTTCCATATATTTAATCATAATTTGCAACATAGTTGTGGTTTAATCAATAACTTACAAATGCATAGCCATCAGAAAAAAGAAAACCAAAAATATATTTAACCACATGCGACACACATAAATACGTTCATATATAAACAAATATATGTATATAATAGACATTTCATTCTCATATTATTTAAGGTAATTTTGCTATATCCATCCAATAGTGAAAAGTAAAGTGACATTTAACACATCTTTTCAAGTGGTAGTACATCCATCGATTACGAATACATGGGGTAGAGAGGTCTAAAACCAACCACACGATGATGTTTATCTACGTCATTGTCTACAAAGGGGGATTCACTTTGCATTGCTTCTTGATAAGAAGGTGGTTCTGTGCGAGAAAAAAAAATTGATTTTGATAAGAAATTTTGCAATTACAATTAGTCATAAATATTTTTATAATCGAAAATTAACAAGCAATTACCACGAACTTACTTAGATCACTATAATTGGGCGGCATTTCGGAATCAGTTTTACCATTCGATGTCGGCATTTCGGGGGCAGTTGGGTTTTGATGTTCGATTTGCTCAGCAAAGTTTTGCAAACTTTCTCGTATCGGTACGTTGCCAATAAAGATGGGAACAGATATGTCTTTGGATCTGTTACAACCGGACATCATTATTGTTACCTTCAGCTTGTATTCGACGTAAATAATGTTGCTAGGTTCAGTTGTAGGTGGCACAGATGGTATGGAAAATTCACCACTGAATACGCGATTCGTCAGACGACGACATACTTCCGAATAATTTCGTTTTACTAGGGTACGTCTCTCGTAGCGATGACTGCGACTGGGCGAATGAGCGGTAAATGTAATTTTTTGAATAAAATCCATATAGTAGCCTTCTGTGTCTGTCATAGATTGATTTTGTAGGTGCAGCGAGAATTTGACAGTTTGTCCCGGTGTGTAGGCAGCAAATGGTATTTGCAGAGAATAAAATAATTTACCACTACTGCAGGGCCAACAACCTAGACTAGCATAATTTTCCCCCAACAGAGGAACCTGGTAAACATAAGTTATCACAACATTATAAAGCTATAAAAAGAATTCGCATTAGCTTACCTTGAACACTGGATTTAGATTTAAATCAACTGTTTTCAGAACTGTCAGTGGTATGTAATAGGTATTATCGAAACGCAATATTCGATTTAAAATTAATGAAATTCCATAACGTATATGACCATATCTTCCCTCACAGGATGTGGGACACTCCAATGGTAATACAATTGTAAATGTGTAGGTGTGCACGCCAACAGGTAATACACCCTCACCTCGTACAATTGTCTCGTTATTGATGTAAACTTCGTGAGATCTGTAGTAAGTTGTAGATGTGGTACTATTGCCATTCGAATCTGTTGTTGTAGTAGACTCCTCCCATTTTACTTTTCCCTCTCCAAGGAAAACTATGCGAGCATCTGCAAAGACACGCAATTAGTTTTTGTTGCATACATTTGGTACGGAAAGCCTTTACTTCGGATCTGTTTTTCGGTGGTTGTTTTTAGACTAATTGTTCCATTAATTGTCTGACCACTGTAATAAACTGCATTTGAGTGGTCCAGTGAAAAAGTGCATACCGATGGCATATTTCTTTTTTAATTATTTTTTAAATATTGTTACGTTCTTTCGGTATACAATTTTATGACGACTGTAAACAAAGCGTGTTTCAATACTGACATATTCGTCTTACATGGTATGCATATATACGTGTATAAACAAATAACACTTTTAATGAAATCAACAGAAGCACTCTTAATAATAAACGATAGACTCACATACATATACTCTCTTAAGTGCTATAGTAATGTTTCTCTTAATCAGATAAAGAGAAATTAAGTAAACTGATTTAGGCTGTACTGATAAAAAATATTTATGTTATTCCCCTGGACAAGTAATGAATTTTTTTTGTGCCCAAGAAGAATTGAAATAAACATATAAAACTATAATGAAAATATACATAGTTGCTACCCACCAAGAATCTGGAATACCAAATTAGGAATAAATATTATATAACGTGACTTCGACTTATAATAAACCTCCTCTGAGAATATATATTTACCCACCAAGAACACGTAATCCCAAGATATATTCAATTTGGTTGGAAACAAGTATGGAATCCTTGGAATAATGAAATTCGCGCGGTCCTTTAGGCCATGGCCGATACAATTTCAATATCAAACATTCCATAAGTAGTATCAATGTATATGCAAAATTGAAAATCTATTTCTTAAATATTGAAAACTCTACCGTGATTTCAACAGACGGACTTGACTATATATACAATAATATATTTTAGAATAATATACTTTATAGGGTCTCTGACTATACCTCAAGATATTGCAAAGCAAATGACTGCCTGTTCATTCGGCAAAATGGATCATGTGCTGACTGTTACGTTTGAGCAATGTAGGAGGATAATTATGAGTGCTACATCACATTTCTTTTTCCCATTTATTTTCCGCGGAGGAATTTTGACAACAAACAAGGGAAATCGAATCACAATGCTTAATGGCAATTCGATTATTTGGGAATCTGAATAAATAAAATCAACGCTATATAAGAATCTTTCATAGTATAGAATATAATTTCTTTCTATAGATTTTACTATATTTGTATTTAAGTATATATCATTTTTAATATATATGAATGTATGTAATTTATAATAATTTTATATTTCTACTGGCGACTCTCGTGGTGGCTTTTCCTTTTCGATATTTTCCATTTGAGGATTAATTCTCTTTTTCTTCTTCTTCTTTTTTATGGGTGGATTTGGTGGCGGTGTCTGACCCATAGAGGGAATAACCACATCGTCGACATCAAAGACCGGATAACGTGGTGTAAACTGAGCCTGCTCACTAACCGTATTCACATCGTCATCATCAGCAATATTGGTGGTCATATACATGGCTTCTTCATAGGTGGGAGGAGCTGTAAAGAGAAACGTACCACTTAATACTTGTCCTTCAGCAAAACGTTGCGTCTACTTACGCAATTCAAAATCTATTTCAGTTTCCTCACTCAACAAACTATGATCATTTCCGTTGGCTCTTTGCATGGCACAGGATGATGTTGTCGGCACATCATCAATATTGGGCTGAGCAACGGCAGCACTGGGAGTAACCAAGGGAACATTACCAATTGTAATGGGGATAACCGATTTGGGATTACGCATCAGATGATTCATTATGGCCACTACGCAAATTTCATAGGAAATGCGTACAACTTTACTCAGATGATCACAGGTGGGTGGTGTGGCTGGGACACGAATAACTTCGGCATAATCTCGTTCACTATGACGTGGCACAGTGCCGCAATATTTTTTCACCAAACACAGTTTTTCGCTGGATGTTTTCATACAGGGTGTATCCGAGACATAAGTGGCACGAAGATTTAGGCATATCATCAGTTTCTTTACATCGGCACTGGTGTTATTTTGAATATGTGAACTAACCAAAATCATTTGACCCGGCACGTAGCCCGTTTGCATGAGATCAACACGCAAGCGTACAGTTTGAGATGTGAAGAAACAAAAGCTTTCCATACTTTCATTGTAAGCTGGACTCTGAAGAGGGAAATTGTAAATAGATTAATAAACAAACGGAATCAGGATTAGATGATTTAGCTGCCTCAAGAAAAATACATCATAGCTATTACAAAAAAATAGTAATTTAATACTGCTTACCTTCAATAGTTCCGTTTCACGATTAAGATCCATCATTTTCAATACCGTAAACCCCTTACTGTATGTTCGATTTGAAGTACCCGATCGGATGGTTGTAACCTTAACCATATAACGAACATGTCCGTAGGCACCCTCAAACGATGATGGACAGTTCACGGGTATGGGACAAGCAAACGAATATGTGTGTGTGCCCGAGTCTATAGTAAAATTGGAGCCATCCTCTGAACCAACTAGAAATGTGGTCGACGCTATATAATCTTCGTGACCATGATAGACATGTTTACGTTTTAAATTTGATTTGTAGATTGGTTTCTTGCGGCCATGTCGTTCGCGCCATTGACATTGGGCATAACCACAAATTTGTAATTTAATTCCTGGAAAATTGAACGGGAATATAATAACAATTATAACTAATTTGTTTGCAAAACCATACATTTCCATTAATTATATTTTAATCTAATAATATATATAGTTTTTTCAGTTTTTATTGTTGTTGTATTGTGTCATCAACAATCAGGGCACATATGCTGTGCCATGAATTGTATACTCATATTTGTTGATAAGGTATCCACCCAGTTGGTATACAGTTTGACAGCGTTTTTTATTGGATTTTACTTGGCACGTCTGTGGTTTATTTTTCTTTTGTTTATCAAATGATAAGATAAGAACCAGTTTATAAAGATTATTTAAAATGTTCCAAACAAATTTGTACACTGCTGGTGTACAAATTAACAAAGTTTTTGACGCTCAAATGGTATAATTTTTTTCATTTTCATAATCCTAAAAATATAAACATTTAAAGTTTTTATGCCATATGCCAAAGGAACTTGTTCGGGGTTTCAAAAGGCAACTATTAACCTATGACAAATACAAAATACACACACGACTTTTTTAATTTAAAAGTCAAGAAATTTCATCCCGAACTTCGTATAAATTTTATATTTCATATTTCGACTGCGATTAAAGCAACTCTAACAATTCTAACTCATTATGATGGAATTGACCAGATGAAGTGGATTTATAAAGTCCAATTTCATATTTCATGACATTTGTGATATATGTGGATCAAAGTTGTAACACAGTTCCCATTTAAGGTTATTAGAAGAAATCATCCTAATTAAGGGAACCCCCATGCTCGATTTTATTTTTTCAAGATTTTCAAAGGGCTGGTAAATCAATACCAATGCCTGTTAATGTTTGTAACTTTGCACATATATATTTGAAGATTTAAAAGATAAGAAAAATAATTTACAAACAATTTTCGTTATTGTTTTTTGTAATTAAAGAAAAGTCCTTATTTTTGATGGCGGGCATGATAACTCCCCACTGGAACATCGGAATCCGAAAACTCCAACGGTGTTAGAAAGAGCACATGTCTGTCTCTCGTATGAACTGGGATTATTGACTTCGCTCTAATATTAACAAAATGGCGGACCTTTGAAAAAGTATTTTTGGAAAATCGCCGATTTTTTACCAAAAACCGAGTAAAAAAATAAGGAAGATCTTCACCGATTGGCTATATCCTAGTTCATACGATAGCTATACATTCACAGAGAAACGTGTAAAAATTTGGAATCGATTGGGTCATTAGTTTTTGAGTTATCGTGCCCGCCATTCACAAAAGAGAAAAACGCGTTAAATAAAAACGCGTATAAATCGGCTATATCTTCAAGAGTTCTTGAGATTTTCTCTTGAAATTTTGTATGGACATTCTTGAATTAGTGTAGATTCGAATAAAATAAAAAAATGTTTGACCCCGAGAATGGGGGAGGGGGGGGGGGTCCCCTTAAAGGTATTTTAAATGGGCCTGTGGCTGTAATCGGGAATATCAGTTAATGGAGTTCCTCGAAAAATAGGTCTACATTTTAAAAACTGATGGTGTAAGTTTAAAGTTATATTTCTCCGATTCTTTGAAATGTATCCTTATTGGAAATGAAATTAAGGAAACGAAGTTGAAGACTGAACATCGAATTCGCTACCTCGGTTAGTTATAATCGACATAATAGATTGACCAATATGTATAGACCAGAAATTTGTGTCTGGACGATTACCCATAACTTTGATTATATTGACTTTATTTCGTTATTATAAGGTTCAATACATTTTTGTAATTCATGACCTTCAACTTGACAAAATATTTCCATTTGCCGTGTTTCGTAAATAACAAACCAAACCAGTTTTTTAGAATTTTTGATGATCAGATATCAGAATGATATGATTTATGATATTATTGAGATGTATGTCTTCACAGTGCTTTAAAATTCTGTTCTTTTTAATTATATTTTTACAAAACTACAGAAGCACATTTCTAAAAATAACCACTTGACACTTGTTTTAATGTATTAGAGATTTATAATTGTTTGTTTTTATATCATATCATCAGCTGTGTCATAAATACTTTTAAAACTGACTATACGAATAAATTATTCCAGAATAATTTTTAAATAATACCTTTAAATTTTTTCGGTTTATTTAGGGTTAATATAACTTTTCCCGTTAATAATTGTCCCGTAAAATATGTCCCGTATTCATTTTGATCAAATGTTATAACGCAATTATTAGCCATGACTATGATTTTTTATTTATTTTTTTGTTTTGCTCTCAAACAAGTAGTTCGGCAACAGGCCACATTCTATTTTTCAGGTATTCCGTCCGCAGCAGTTTAACGTAACACTTTAGGTTTTTAACTGACTGTGACCGTTCGGCGAACATGTTAAGTTGTATCCATAACTGTTGTTATGAATCGGTTTAGATTGAGATAAGAGTCCATATGTAGGTGTGTGAGCGTAACTATCAAAATCATCGTCGTAGTCATCGTCTCTGTTATATCGGGCCAAAACTCACAAATAATTCAGTTAATAGCTAAGGTGTTATATTTGATGAGCAATGACGCCTCTGCCGGTCGGATTGGCGTTGAAGAGCTTAAGTGATAGACGAGAGAATGAATAAATCTCAGTTTGAATAATTGATGTGGTAGCTATACCGTAACAGCATGTGCGTGTGGCTGTGTTGTTGTAAGCAAAACACTTAATATTATATTTATATGATCAATTAGATTTAACGTAATCTATGACTTGCAGAAACTGATACTAATCAATACCGATAAACGTAGAAAAATAAATTTAGATATTTAAATATTGGTCGCTATGAATTTAAAAATGGCTGCTACTATCAGTGTTATAAAATATTTATAGCATACATCGTATTTTTTGAGCTTTATCACTATTTATTTTGACAAATTTTAACACAGTTATATATTTATTTTAACGTTTAAGTTGTATAATTTATAAATTATAAAATTTCAATTAGTGGAAGGTGTCATTTAATACCCTACCCAATAACAAAAAATCAATTTTATATGTACTTACATATTTATAAAAATGTTAGGTGATGACTAACTGACTGACGTATACATTATCAACGAAAAAGTGGATAGGACTGATATTTTGCATGATAGTGACGGCTGATGTGTGATAAGCCGGTATTAAATGAATGTTGGTACGAAATAAGTGCGTAAAATACTGGAATGTTAAGATGGATCTTCTCCACAGCATGATCAACACGAATCTGAAGTATGATATACTAAAACATTTGTTTATATTTTGTTTTAATGCATAAATAATACTGTTAGTGTTCAACGAACGATTTTTAAGTAAAATTTTGAATTTTTTTTAATAACACAATGCCAGTGAATAATTCTTAGTTTAATTAAATTAATTAAGTTGCGCCTGCTATTGGTATCCTCCATAAATTCAGATATACATTTAATGTAAAAACTAAACTTTTGTTATATAATTCACTAATTCAAAGTCATTTCAACTATTTGGCAATGATATATGCACATAAAAATAATATTTACTTGAAATCATTGCAAAGGACCCAAAATAAAGCACTTAAAATAGTTTTCAACTTGTCGAGATTTTACCCCACAACAGAACTCTACAAACATATTGCAAAAAACATTCTCCCTATACATGGTACTTATAAACTTCAAGTGATGACATATATGTTTAAAGTTATCCATGATATCGGCCATCGGTCAATACAATTTGAAATGAGTCAAACGCTTGTCAATACGAGGAATAATTCTGTTTTAAGAGTAAAAAGATGTCGTTTGGAATTAACGAAACAAAAAATTCAGCATAATGGATGTTTATTTTTTAACCACCTGCCCAATAATATAAAAAATATAACAAGAATTTCATTATTTAAAAAAGAGATAAAGTCATTTTTATTAAGTAATATTGAAATGCTTCTAACGTAATTTTTTTTAACGTAATTCATTTTTTTTATGTTATTTAATTTTTTTATCAATATTTTTTTTTTCATATGATAAAACACGTATTTTGATTTATATTGTAAACCAATTCGCCTCAATAAGGAAGACGCTGAGGCAAAACATACATATTGTAATAATATATATTTGAAATAATAAATACAAAAAAAAAATTCTATCTATCAGTCTGTAGAAATAATGGAAATAGAATAGAAATAAGGACTATTCGTTTTGAACCAAACATTGTACAACCTATTATCTTTACCAGGGATAGATCCAGTCCGAAGATGAGATCCTTGTTCCACTCCTTCTCGTACTTCCTCCACAAATGGTCAACATTTTCAATATTTTAAAATCCAATAGTATGCGAAATTAATGTCCGACCAAACTCTACACTACTCATTATCTCCACCAAGCCTAGATCATGAAGATGGGACCCATTGGTCCACTCCTTCCGGAACCTCTCCACAAATGGTACAAATTTTAAATAGTTACCAGTCCAATATCAGGCGAATGGACTATCCGAATTGAATTAAATTTTGTACAACCGTTTATCTTTAGCACGCCTAGATCAATTCCGATGATGAGATCCATTGGCCCATTCCTTCTGGTACATCTCCAACAAATGGTCCACATTTTTAATATTTATAAATCCAATATTAAACAAAAGGAATGTCCGATTTTGACCAAACTTTGTACAATGTATTATCTTCACAAAACCTAGATCAAGTTTAAAGATGGGACCCGTCGGTCCTTTCCTTCCGGTATGTTTTCCATGTTTTTTTTTTAAACAAATGCCGGTCACATTTATAATTTGAATAAAACAAACTTTATTCAATTTATGAGAATCGGTTCAAGTTTAGATAAATGAATACCGATTTAGCCTTAGAATGAAGTGTGTTGAGTTTTATTCAAATTGGTTCAGATTTTGGTAAGGCTCCCACCGAGTCTTATAACACCAGAGGGTACTCCCCGAAATTAAATCCTGAATTCTCCCATAAACATTGTCATCGTATTTGAAGTAAATGGTGAACAAATGAAATTTAGTCTGTCCTAGTGACATATCTTAACTGTAACTAGAATGATGTGTCTCAATTATGCTTCAAATTGGGTCAGGTTCAAAGTTTTTCTTATATATTTTTTATATGGATTTTATATAAATTATGCGTTTTTGTCTAATGTGATTAAAATCGCATTTCTTTTAAATATTGCTTCCATATGTACATTTTTCCGGTTTCATGTAAATGATGTACGATGCACCCTACGTCTTTCGATGATTCACGTTTGTTTCCGTATGTATTTGAACTAAATGACTTTTTAAAAAAGTCCCTTTTTTACTTATGGTGTTCGATTTGATCGAATTTATTTCAGATTTTACGTGATAATTATTTCGAAGGCCCTAGTCAAAAATTATAAACAAAATTATAATGTTTACCGATAAAAGTCCATTATAAATATAACTTAAAGTTTAATTTTACGACTAACTAATAATAGAAGTGAGACACAAAACACTTTACGGAGTTTGTTTTTACATTGCTATTTATTATTTTCATCTCCTTTCTCAAGTCACAAGTTCGCCTGTTCCAGCCATATATTATTCTTTAACAAAATGTAGGTCTTATCGGTCCCAAATTGTATCCAAACCAAAATTCAAGTTCATGTTACAACTGATAAGAAAAAAATTTCTCAAAAATCTATTATTTACAACATATAATAATTTTAGAAACAAAAATACACATGCACCTACACACACGCACACGAATAAAATTCCAGAAGCTAGAACGTGGAAGTTCTCAGCTTTTAAATTCACGGTTTCACTGTTTAGGTACTTATTTGCCAAAGAGAACCCATGTTCGCTGCTGCCATTATCATCAGTTGATAAACAATTTTCTGATAATATGGAGAGGGGGACTTTTTTGCATTGATTGTTTACCAAAGTTTTGGAATAACATTTGTACGAAGTTCCATTTCAGGGTAGTGGGTAAATCAATACAGTCATTAGTCGATGTCAACCCCGTTTGGTAGAGTTCTGTGTCGCGTGTGTGTTAATTGTTTTAAAATTTCGTATTGAATGTATTGAGGAATATCAACAACAACAAGAACAACAGCAAAAATGGTTGTAACTTGCGACATACAATTTGAAAATAATCCACAGGGATGTTTTTTTGCCGGTCAGGTTTTGTCGGGAAAAATCATTTTATCAGCCGATAAAATAAAACAAGTTAAGGGTAAGAGCCCTTTGATGACTCATATATACATACCTACGTGCCAAAATGCATCAAATCTTATCGCCATTGGTGTTGTTTTTTTTTTAGCTGTTGTCTTGAAAATAAAAGGATTTGCTCACACTTCTTGGTCGGAAAAAGATTCCAAAGATAAACACACCTATTATAGAGGACACATTGATTATATAAATTCAATAACACAACTCTTAAGTCAAAGTTCTTCAGGTAAAATGGAATTTGACATACTGCAGCGATGCATTGATTTTATTTATAAAATTCGGTGGTGTTTTTTTAGATACACCTGTTATTATTGAACCCGGTGTCCATAGTTTTAGTTTTGCTTGTCATATTCCCACAACATGCCCATCATCATTTGAGGGTAACAAAGGCCACATACGTTATCTAATCCAAGTTGATCTGGTGAGACCATGGAAATTTGATCAGTCCTATACACGAGGTTTTACTGTACTCAAAGTCATGGATTTAAATTACGATACACCGCTTCTGAAGGTAAGTGTACTAGGGAATGAAACGGGAAACAATGAAGATGCCCTTCAAACTGAATCCAGCTAAACCATAACTAATATTCAATTACAGATGCCTGTAAACAATCAAATGTCGAAAGTTTTCTGTTGTGGTCCCATGAAAACAGATCCGCTACAAATAGAAATTCATCTTCCACAGTCCGGTTATGTACCTGGTCAACTTATACCCATTAGCATTGTGTCGACAAATGATACCAAAGTTCCAATCAACGAAATTTGTGTACGTCTTGTGATGATGGTGTGTCTGTACAGTCAGACTCCAACTAAAAAAGCGGTCAATGAATATATTACAGTGTCGAAGCTAAAAGGCGATTCTGTACCGATATTGTGTAAAAAACAATTTAATTATTTACTGCCCGTACCGGCAACACCGCCAACATGTTTCAATCTCTGTCAAATAATACAGGTGGCCTATCGCATTGAGGTGGAGGCGAAAATGAAGGGAATTTTCTATCCCACCCAAGTAATACATATCCCGGTGACCATTGGCAATGTTCCGCTAATAAATGTCATACAACAACAACCAATGGCTGCAACAAATGGACGGACATTTACAGATGGTGAGAATGCTGATGTAGTTGATGGACCCAGTAGACAACCATGGGCTGTTAATGATAATATTCGTAAGTTATTTCGAAAATAGAATTTCTTGAAGTATACATAATTAATTTTTCCTTTTTGTTGTATAGCATGTCCTAGTTTTGAAGAAGCTGTACATATGCCCCAAGGCAAGTTGAGTGAGATTGGTACAAGTGACTATGGTGATAAGACATTCACTCCAAAATATCCCGTATTTAATATTCCCAGTCCATCGATTACGGATGGCCAAGATAATGCTTTTATGCCACCCACAGTAACAGATCCAAATAAATCAACATGGTTATGAGAACAATAAAAGATCTTCTGTGTGTTTTAATGTTTGTATTGGAATCCTGGAAAGAATACATGTACTGAAATCTCTATGAATACTGAAGGAGAAAAAAATCAGGGATTATAGACGTTAATTACGCACTAACAACTAGAAATAATGATATTACGGATGGATCGGATGCATGTGTAAAAAAAGGTTTATTATGCTCTAGCAACCAGAAATAATGCATATTGGTGTATATGTGTTAACGTAGATCTTCAAACATGACCAAGCTCCAATTTTTTTCAGTAAGGAATGTAGTAAAGTCAGACTGGGCAGACTATATGATATCCTTCACCACTTTGAGTATATTTTACATATGTGTCCTAACAAACGTCTCATTTTCGAAGGAACTTTGGCATAAAATTGAACGAACTTAAATATGCGATCTTTATCTATATGTGAACCGACTAACATCAATTCATACCATTGCCATTCTGCAACATATGCTAAATGTTGTAAGTAGATTTAAAGCAAATTTTACACACATTATTCGCTATGGTGCACTGATTAAAATGTAATCTCAATTAAGCACCCATTGATTATTTAATGTACAAGTGATCATTCCTTCCTTCCTATGGAAGCTTTGAAATATCTAAATCTGAACCGATTTTATAGAAACTTCCCAGAGATTAATTTATATTAATTTAATGGGTTTTAGTGCACCATTTACTTAAAATCGAAAATATATAGGAGCTATATGTATATCTGAAACTATTTCAAGAAAACTTGATACACGTAAGTTTATTGTAACTTCAGTACATTGTACAAAATTGTGTGCTAATCGGCCAAACTTTGGGTAATTAATGAACAATTTACATTTACATACCAAAATTCGTGCAAATCGAAACAAATATAGGGGCTTTGGTGTTCCATTACCATAAAATAGGACGTAAATATATATGGGAGCTATATCTAAATATGAACCGATTTTCACGAAACTTAACATAGATTTAATTCAGTACGCTATGCCAAATTTCATGGAAATCGAAAGATATATAGGGACTTTGGTACACCATTTACATTAAATCGGACGAAAACATATATGGGAGCTGAACCGATTTTTCCTAGTTTCAATAGGGTTTGTCCTTGAGCTTACGAGGAGCTTCTACAAAAGACAGTCAGATACGGTTAGGTTGTCTTAGAAATGTATCCTGATCAAGGGTGTATATGCACATTATTACGGAAATCGGAAATGATTATTCTGGAAGTGATTATTCCTTCATACAATGGTCAACTTAATTAAAACGTGGGTCTGTGTGTGGATGTGAGAATAATATACATGCTGGAGTTTACACACGCCTTATTCGATTTTTTCCAAAGAAGAATGTCGAGGCAATTGTTCGATACATATAACATAGTTCAAAAATGATCCCTTTTAAACCTAACCACCCTAATGTTGAAACCTTGTATGGTTTGCTAAATACCAATTGCACATTCATTAACAACAGCAAACCACCAAATAAATACTCAGAGAAAAATATCATTGAATGGTTATTTCAATTCCACATTTTTCACCGCTTCTCTAAGTCAACGTGAATGGAACTCAACACTCTTCGTTTACGCTCCCCCATTTGTTTTGCTTATCGTTAATTAAGAAGTCTACTCCACACACACACGCAAACATTGCTACCATTTTCGCATTAAAATAGCCAAAACACACGTTTTAACTACAAATACAATTCATTGTGTTATTGTTTTGTGATAAAAACAAAAATTACGCTCCATAATAATTTTGCGACATTCCTGACGTTGACGACGACAACACCGCCAACAACAACGACCACTGCCGAGCTTATCAATGCCAGTTACGACGAAGAGACCTGGTCACACTAATTAAAACATTAGAATTAATTTAGACCAGCACTTTTTCGACTGTTTTTTAGTATTACTCTGTTACTTGGTCACAATGGTCGTTCACTGTGACATCGAATTCGATCAGAATCCAACGGGCACCTATTACGCCGGTCAGCTGGTTAGCGGTAAAATTGTTTTGAAATGCGATAAAGTTAAGGAAGCTAAAGGTATGTAACGAAAGGCATTGACGTGGAGAGTGATCGAATTTCAATGTAATGGTGAGAAAGTTTATCACATCTACTACGTAAACATGTGATATTGAAGGGATTTAGTTTGTTTACTAAATGACAGCGACTATCTTTAATTTTTGTGCGGAATATCTAAAACAATGACCAAATACTTAGTCACTCCAGGTATTTTTAATTGTGGAATAATATAGCAGTAAGAGGGAGTGAAAGAAAATTTAATAAATATTTGAAATATTTACCGACATTTTAGTTAAATAACAACGCACAGCCCCGTAAACAAACACACACATGCGAGGTAGAGAGTACTACTCAAGAATTTTGATTGTTTCATAAAACGACGACGACAACAACAACAACAACAATAATAAACGAATATAGCTAACACATTGTGTTTGGATAAGATTAAGTAAAATTTGGAAGCAATGTCTGTGGGGAAGTGGTTTGATAAACATAATTTTTAATCAACGGTTTTTTTCGCTAGTTGGCTACTATATTTAAATTGAATTTAATGAAAGCCAATACTTCTTGTTATGCTAAAAATTTGAAATAAAATTTCATTTGTGCATTGCACAAAAAACCTGCAATATATAATTACTTCGCAATGAAGTTTTCTATGTGGTCATATCGATGTACTGATATGGAGGTTATTGGTGGAATATACCTAAATTGAAGTGGGCAATTTTATATTCTGTAAACCTTTGGTTATATTCTGGAGGTATTTTTAGGGTTAGAACTTCTTCGGTAGTCTATGAAAAATATTTTAACTGTGCTGTTATGGTATCTGAACCGGCCTGAACCAGTAGTCATAACACCGTTACTCTAGACAAAATTAAGTCGCATGTACATTATGTGATGTGTACGCCAAACCAAGATAAACTCCGAAGATGAAGTCCATCGGTCCATTCCTGCAAATACCTCTCCCACAAAGGGTCTAATGAGAGAATTGTCGTTTTTTAATTATATATATCTCTGAGAAGACAAATATTCAAAGGAAAGAACAATTTAATGTTTTCATGAACGAGATAATAGGAAGTTCCCCTCTGGATGACGATTTGACCTGAGAAAACATATCCAATATAGATAGTTGTATGTGTAGCCCTAATACTATAAGAACAAAGATTCTGTCGACATCGTTGACCGGTAGAATTGAATTACGGATTCGAAGGCGGTTTTAATAATTGTCATACACATTTTTACTCCACGTATTATCAATACAAATATAGGGTTACGTTATCACTATTACGATATAATATTTTGTATTTTTGTATATTTTATATATTTTGTATTTAAAATAAACAAACCTGTAAATGCAATTTTAAATTATCTAGCCAATTTTCTAAATTCAGTCTCAATATAATATTGGTCACCTCCAGTCGATAAGATAGACGCTTATTTCTGAACGATAATGTTATCTTAGCTGGGAAGTTTGAAAACTTGGCGAACTTTAAATACTCCAAATACATATATATTGGATGAATTCTAATGAAACAATAAAATTTGTATTTAAATGTAATATATAAATTCTTATCACGGGATAATCGCCTAATATCAGCAAATAATTAAACTTTCACATTTTTTATATATTTACCAAAACTTTAAAATTAGGAGCAGATTGTGTGATAATAATAACGATTTCCGGCAAATGAAATTAGAACTAAATTGGGATATGATATCAATCACATTTGTTTCGTTTATTTCCTAAATCGTATCTGTAAACTATGAATTGTTAAAATACTATCACGGTTATCAATGTCAGAAATATTACTATCAATTAGATTGAAATGACGAGCTATTCAATAGAATTTCAAATAAACAATCTTATCAAATCAGACAATAATTAACTAAATGATTCAAATAACACTCCCACTTTTCAAATTACAGCCATTCTCCTAAAAATATCCGGCTCGGCTGAAACATTATGGAGCGAACGGCATTTTAGTACAAGACGTATGTACTATGGCCGGGAGGATTATTTGTCATCATCGACCTATTTAATGGGTTCCGAACAGAGTAAGACCATTATACACAATTGCCTTGAGGATGGGTTTTGTTTTAATAAAATATTTCCAGGTCCCAAAGCATCTATAGCAGTCGGTGTACACACATATACATTTGCATGCCAATTGCCTTACAATTGCCCATCCTCATTTGAGGGTGTGCATGGCCATATACGTTACACCGTCAAAGTGGTTCTTCAGCGACCATGGAAGTTCGATAATGTTTATAACAGGGCCTTTACTGTACTAAGAGTCACCGATTTGAATTTTGAATCACCACAAATAAGGGTAGGTTCGGAAATGTATATTTGATGCCCTGAAGTTGTTCTATCAATTATATCAATTTCAGATCCCCTCAACGAGTGAGGCCTACAAAACATTCTGTTGCGGCCCTTGCACCACTGAACCCTTGAAAATGGAACTAAAAGTCCCTCAAACGGGCTATGTACCTGGCCAAAATATACCCGTACAGGGTATTGTAATAAATAACACCAACATGGCTGTTTCGGAGGTGAAATTTATGTTGGTCATGTTGGTACGCTATACCAGCAACAAGCCACATCGCATCAATGTTCAACGGGTGGCGGTTAGTAAAATCAAAAGCGATTCAGTATTACGTTACTGTACCCGTGCCATGAAAGAGGAATTACATGTACCGGCCACACCACCGACCTGCATCCAAGGCTCGTCCGTCATACAGATCGTCTATCAAATTGAAATGTACTGTAAAATGAAAAGTTTGAACAAAACGCAAGTGGTAACAATGCCCGTGATAATAGGGAATGTCCCACTGGCGAATAACACGCGACGTTTCAATGTGATCGATGAACAACCCACATCGAGCAGCCGTGATATAAGAGAAGTGCCATCGGATGCGGACGAATCCAAAGAAGTTGGTTCGCCACCAACATTAGATTTAAGTACACCAAATATGCGTAAGTTGATGATTATAATTTGTTCGTAATTTCAAGCTGCTTTAATCAAAAATTCCAAATTTTATTCCAGCACCCCCTTCGTATGAAGAATCGGTTCACACGCAACGCAGCAACATCAATGAGGGAGAGGAACACACATTTGGTCCCAGTGAATTTGCACCTTTGTATCCAGTTTTTAATATATCAACGCCAAGTTTAGATCAAACTCCTCTGCCCATGGGTATTGAAAACAAAAGTTTTTCACCATAATGTCATATTTACGTTATAGTCGGATTCATGTTTGTTACTCCTTTCTATTTGCAATTTGTTGTTTATTTCAAATACACTAGAGCCCCGACTTGCGTCGTTAATAGGGACCGGAGAATCGCGACGCAACTCAAAACGACGCAAATCGAATCACAAAGAAAAGGGAATTCCCCTTATTTCACGCAATTTGAAAATTTGTTAACGTACAGGTGACGTGCCAGAAGTTGTAAAAATGCTAAACGACAGAAAAGGTGCTAAATCAGGCACTGCAAATGAAAAAATAGGAATCCACATACTGGGGCAATCTCGTTCAGTTCAGTGATCGAACGAACTAGTCCACAATAGCTCCTCGGACCAACCAACACAACTTGAAAAGCGACGCAACTCGAAACGACGCAAGTCGGGGCTCTATCTAGTGCAATGTAAAACACCTAAATTTAGTATATGTGTGTGTCTTCGATACAAATTGTAATTTTTATAATGGTTGTAGAATATGATGAGTAATTTTTGTATAAAAAATAAATTAATATAGTAATTATAGTATGGTTGTTGAATGTACTAAATCCACATTGAATACATACTACAAGTTCCACACAGTGTGGGATGTGGATGTAGATGGTGGACCTAAAAGCAACACAAGTGGATTGTGTAATCGAATTCCCAAAAATGAATAGTGGACTATAAAATGTGTGGGCTATGTTTTATAGCAAGTACATACTATATATAGGTCAATAGATGTCGCATGTAGTGATTTGCTTAGATGTCGGATGTAATGATTTGCTTAAATGTTGGTTTATGTACTGACTATAAACCACTTTTGACCTTGGTACCTTTGTTCGAATTTGCTGTAGTGTTGAACGACCGCTGTGGTGTGAAAATCCGTGTACAGCGTTGAAAATTTCTTTGCGCAATGGACGGACATGTCCCGTTGTTATGTCACAATATATTGATGTATTACCGTAATGAATTATTTGCAGCTTCAAAAAATTGTTATCTTCAATTATAGTTTTTAACTCTTCGTCGTATTCTTGAGATTTTTGAATGGCTTCGTGTGAGACGCTTGGCGGCATTGAGATTTCGTTGAGTCTTCAAAATGCATCTGTTGTAAACTGAGATAAAAAATCTAAATTTCGGAGTTGTCTGGGCGATGCCTTTGAAAATCCGACGTTGAGAAAATGCGTATATAAGCGGTTTATGATCAGTTTTGATGAAGAAATGTCGTGCTTCCAGCATGCGTCGAAAATATTCCATTGCTTTGTAAATTACGTGCAATTCTCGATCGTATGTACTGTATGCTTTTTCGGATTTTAATAACATACTCGAATAAATTCCTAGAGGTATCCATGTACTGTTGAAGTTTTGTTCTAAGACGGCAGTGTCTGATGCATCCGTTCCAGATCTGGAGCTGGATGTGCAAGCATTGTGGCTTTACAAAGTCTTTGTTTGCAGGTCTCAAAAAGCGGTTTCTATTTCCGGTGGCCATGGTACTTTGCGTTTGTCATTTTTCTTGCAGTTCCCAACGAGTTCGTTTAAGGGTGCTTGTTGATGTGCTGCGTGGGGTATACAGCATACCCATAAATAATTTATCACCTGAAAAGCGGCGTGGACGATCAGCAACTGGAGTTCCTGTTGTTTCGATGTGATGAACGACGATAAATTCATCTGTTGGTTTCCGAAGCGTTGTCGTTTTTGTAATGTCTTCAAACTCCTTTAGCAGGTTTGTGAAGGATTATGCGGAATTCAATGTCGAAATTCCAAACTCTTTGGTTTGTAAAATGGTTTGGTTTTATTGTAAATCAAAGTTGACTACAAAATCGGCACCTATTTTTGCTGTGTGTACTTCAGCAATCACAAACAACCATTTGAATTCTCGTCGAAGTCCGAGGTCAAGTTTCAGTACACAATCACCAAAAGTTTTGATTTCGCATTGATATGCATCCGGAAGTGCAAGTTTGGACGGCTTGAGTTTCTGATTTATCATAGATGGAGGTACTATAACTGATACCGCCGATCCAAAATCTTCAAGAAATCGGGTATTTGTTGATTTGTCGTAAAGAAGTAGTAGAAGTCTTTCATATGTGTTTTTGTTGCCGCTGTCGCCACCCGATTTGACTGTCGACAACCCAGCTAGTTTTCCGGCTGGTATCTTGCACAATCAGGTTTACGTTTTCTTGCGTTGTCGCCAAATTTTTGATGGAAGTAGCATAAATGTGTGTACGACAGCGTTGTGAAATTCCACGAAGTTTGTTGTAACTTTTAATTTTGTTTGTCCGTAGTCGAGGTCACCACTATAGTTATTGGGGTTGTTGATGAATTAAAACACAGCGGTTATCTTAACAACACTTAATAACTATTTTATTTAATATTATTTGAAAAGACAATAAAAAGTAATTTCAATAAGGTCGATTTGCAACACACAACTGTGGTGTTGAAGATTTCGCGAGCAATTAACTTTTGCTTTCTTCTTTGTTGCCTCTTGTCAGAATTACCATCTCGGAGATGCCACAGTTGTTTGGACTTTTTAATTACGAAAGGAGTTCTAATTTTGGATGTTTTTGGTACCACCGAAAGCTTTGAAACAGGAAGTTCCAAGTTGGTTTTTGGTTATAAAACAAATTTAAGTAAATTAAGTTTTGGCTAGGCTATAATCAATCAATCAATCAATCACTGGGTGACAATATATTTTTGAGTTTGAGAAAAAATATCAGTCTTATTCAACATTTTAAGCGAACATTTCATATAACACCCTGTCTGATACACACACATGTTAATTAATAAAAGCTTCAATTTCAAAGCGAATATAATTTATGAAAAACTCCACGCCATCCATGGAAGCTTTCAATACTGAACATCTAATCTGTTGTACTAAATTTTTTATATCTAGATAAATTACATTATTATCTATAACATTAAAATGTCCCAGTGTTTATATTATACCATAAATTATGGGAAATATGACATAATTCGAAAATTCCTATTTAGAACTATTTATGGGAAGGAAATCGATTTATGCCAAATACCAGAATTATTTTAAAAAAACCAAGTTTTTATGACGAGCATAACGTATTATAGCATATCTTAAAACTTTCTTCTATAAAATGTTTATACGTACATAGAGTAATAAACGCAATGCTATTACTAAGCTTTAAGGATAATTGTAGCTTTTAGGAAATGAAAATACAATTGAAAAGCTTATTTATATTTGAATTTTTATTTAAATTTATATTCAATGTTTATACGCTTCACCACGCTGTGGTACATGGTATTATGTCTTTGTGCATATGTACGTCCGACCGTCCGTGCATTTTTGTGAACAGAGTACAGATCCCATATATAGTTTGGTTTCACCAAACTCCCAAGATTTGTCCGATTAATACAAAATTTTGCACAGCTTATTACAATAGGTTGAAATCGGTTCAGATTTAGATAAAAGGTGCACCAAACTCCCAAGGATTGTTCGATTGATGAAAAACTTAGCAAAGCGTATTGAAATAGGTCTACATTGCTTATACAAAGTTTTATGGAAATCGGTTCAGATATAGCTCCCATATATAGTTTTTCCGATGTTTGGTAAATGTTGCACCAAACTCCCAATATTTGACCGATTCAAGCAAAATTTTTCACAGACTAGTTTGATTTCTGTGAAATTGTGTCGAGATCTATTAAAGAGTATCATATAGTCGGCCCCGTCCCACTTTTGAACTTTCCTTACTGCTTTTATAAATTTTATTTTAAATACATACAAATTCAATATGAGAAAGATAAACGTTAAATTATTCTCAAATTTTAGGCGGTTCAACATTATTGAATGCAGTACTGTATATATTCAAAATGCAGTAAATCTGGATAATTGTTTGCAGACCTAAAACTAATTTTACCGGAATACCGATGTTTTTTAAATTGATTTAATTATTTTTAATTTTGTGATCATATAACTAGATCAGCAAAACATTCACTGCTCATAAATGTTGGTTCGAGCCAAAAAAAAAAAAAAAAAAAAAAAACTGATAAAAAATTATCTTCGTAATCCTGACTATATAGAGTAACTTCGGGTAATGTGGACCACCATTTTCTTTTTTTGATATTGAGGGCGTAACAACGGTAAAAAATAAAAACAAATTGTTTTCACAACATGGTAGATTTGTTGGCTAATTATATTCCAGGTCAAAAAGTATATATATTTGTCCATAAAAATATTATTGCATTATATTTCAAAAAACTCTAAACTGCGAGTAAAAATAACTTGGCGGGTAATTTGGACCAGTATGTGTGGGTAATGAGGATCAGTAAGTTAAAGGTAGGTTGTGGATTAATTGTGATAAATTTCAATTTATTGCACTCTTGGGTAACAATGAATAAATGTTTTGAATAGCCCCCATTTAAGGGTACCACCCCATTTGCGGTATTTTGAATGTCCTTGCTTCATTATCCAACCGAGGCACCTATAATTTCGGATATCGAGTTTTCAGAGGATAGAATACCTCCTCGCATATTAAATGCGTCCTTGTTTCGAACTCGTCCTCATGAAAATGTCCCACTTCTTTATAGTGGTCCACATTACCCGACAATGAATATTTTTATTTAAAAATAATTATCGGCTTCAAAAATGAATAAAAATTTAAAAATAACCGAAAGTAATTACAGATAAACGTGTATTTTTGTTAAAGAAAACAGGAAAACCACATAACCACTTTATATTCGAGAAAAACAAAATGTTCGACTATTTTACAAAATCGTTCGACTATTGTGCAAAAAAATTTTCAAATCACGCTTTTACAATCAGAGCTACATTTCCACCTATTAAATTTTCAACATTGCAATTATTTATTAAAAACCAAGTTTGATGTTTGTTTTCACTAATTAGGAAAATATTTATCAAGGTGGCATTGACATATTTCAAGTATTTTCTTAGATATGGGGGTGGTCCACATTTGACGCATGGTCCACATTACCAGAAGTTACTCTAGTCAAATAGAGACAAATAATACAGATTATCGAATACAAAACGAGTTGTGAAATGCAGTCCAGATTACCGGATAATCAAGATTTTACTGTATGATTAATATTGTTTAGTAAAATTCGGAAGTACTATTTCATACGAATGTCAAGGTCAACATTGGTATGAAATAGTCTTCAAAAATTAAATTGTATGAACCTATACTATCGATTCAAATTGTTGTATTTTTTGATCACCCTTTATTATTTCACATGACCCGAGGACACACACATTAGGGTCACAAATAAATATGTCAAAGTATTTTTTTTAATATTCGTAATTTTGGATACTTATCTAATGTTGAATATGAACCCCTTAGATCAAAGCTTTTCAAATGATTACATTTATATTTTGTTGTGTTATTATCAGTACTTAATGCTGCAATGGGTTAAATGCTTATCTACGAAGGTGTATCGATTACTTCTACTTATTCGTTTTTCATCTTCCAAAACCAGCCAAATTAACTTTCACTGATTCCGAGCGTTTGCCAACTTCTGTTTCACCCATGTATTCGTTCTTATCTCGTTTCTTGAAATTGCATTGCTTTACATACTATTTTCGTGAATTTTTTTGTTCGCTGTGTTCGACTTACCTTTTTACGCGACTTTTTTTTGTCGCTATCTATGAAGTTTATATTCTCCAGACGCCTACAAACTGTGACCTTCATTCAAACCTTCATGCATACATATGTACATGAATAAACAAGGATATCCGCTATTCTTTGTTCGGTTTCTTGGAATATGTTAACAATTTACACAGCATTCGAAGTCAACAATCCCAAATCAGTGTGAAAAAAACTGTGTAAAAATCATTCTGTGGCGCCTCGAGTCACAATAAATAGTTTCGTAAACAAGAACTTAAAACGAAATCGAAAAAAACGCACACATACACTCGACAAAAATCATGTAGACCCCAAAAAAGAGGTAGAACACAGATAGGCAATTAAGTGCGATAGTGTATGTGTAAGGAATTACTTGTTTTTTTTTCAGACACAGACCACTTCAGGTATGGCAAAGGAAGTAAGGAATTTTTCGAGTCTTTTCTCTGTTGGTAAACAAAGTCAGTAACAAGACTTAACTCGGCCCAAAAGAGATTCATTGCCTTGACTCACTTCAGCATGCCAAGCACTTTTGATATGCGAAAGGACATGCTATTATCCAATTTTTTCTTCCTGATAGGTGTATACGGCTTTTGTGCTAAGTGGATGCATTTGAATGGCTTTGCAATGTTTTCAAATGGGTCTACCATTTATCAGGGGGAATGTCTTTCGATTATTGACTAGCATTGGGTTTGTTTGTTTCATTACAACTGCCAGTGGAAATCCTGTAAATTACTATTTAAGCAATCAAATTGGTAGATCTTTACCAAAAATGCTGTCAAATTAAGGATTAATCTTGCAATACACGTTCACTTGGCTATTCACACTGTTCATCTGCTGATGTATGTGTGTGTGAGTGAGTGCGGTTGCAATTCAGTTTGGTAATTTTATATGGGAAAGTGAAAATGAGTTTGTACCAGGGGAAATGTAAACACCAGTAGGCAGTAATACAAATTTTCAACAGGCCTTGTGAGTGTGTAGTTGCACCAAGTCCTCCATGTAAATATTAACAGGATAGAGTTAACTGAAGTGGCAAGACAAATGGAAATGGTTTACCGAACTAGATCATGTCGGAAGGAGTGAACATTCAAAAATATAACTGTTTAAAAGGATTTCCCATGTATTGTGATTGGGAATATACAATTTTTTCGAATGGTGTCCAAAAATCCCAATTGAAAATCCATTCAGAGTCATAATTGGTAAAGCTTATATGTATTCGTATTCCCAATACATACATACACTGCAACACTTTCTATTCTAAACATTGTACTTTGTCTTTATGATCTGAACATTTCCGGAAAATGGTCCCATTTGTGTTTGCATTACGTTGTCAGTGTTAGACATTGTTCTCATATTTGTTTGACTTGCAGAAAATCTCAAACACACACACGGTCGCACAGATATACACCATACTTACATAGATTTCGCCAGCGATTTTATTTAAAACAGTTAAAACTCATTCAATACGAATTCGTCGAAATGAAAATGTATATCACACAGGACAAACTTTGGGTGTGTGCGTTATGTTTTCCGAAAATAATTAATATGAAAGAAAATGAAGCAGATTGAGTTCCATGAACTGAGTAAAGTATATTTTCGTAGAATCGTAAGGTAATATTTTAACATACATTTTAAATAAATTTAGTGTGAAAGCTTGGAAAGGGAGAAGAAAGAGTCATTATCTATTTTCCAGTTAAAATTTCCAATATTTTACTATTATTACCAGTATTTTACTATTAAAGTGATGCTCATCCAACTTTGTTAAACGACGGCTTGTCAAATAAAGAGAGAAATCCTCTGAGTTGTTGTTACGACAATTTACGGAGCTGATCAAAAAGTTCGCCTCCAAGACTTTCTTCTTGATCTTCTACAACAAATTCTCTATATCGATTTATTTATCCCATGAGGTCGTCTACAAAAACTGCAATGCGCAAAGTGGCTATCTCCACTGTTCCGATTTAATTTAAAAATTATGTTATTTCATTATGTATTTATTATTTCCCAACATTTTATTTGTCATAAAATGCATCCCATATTTTTAAGGTATCGAATGCCGGCATTTCTTTGCATTCCAAATGATCATCAATTATCAAACATTTTGGTGCTTTCTTAAAATCATCAACTGGCTGCCATGTTACCTCTTTAATTTCATCACAATTTGGTTCCGATTTCAATGCAAAACTATACCACATTCCAATCATTTGTTCTAAGCAGCGATATTCCTTGCACTCCATGTCCAGTTTATCTGGTACCGTGCCATAGAAAAAATAGGATAATTCATCGGCATGACAGACTCCACGCAACGAAGCACCACAACATGTTATACGAAAATGATTAAAGAATTCCGAATCGAAGTTAAAACTGTAGTAATAGGTTGTGGCATTTTTGGCATATCTTCGGCGATCTTTAATTGTACGCCAAGAATCATGAAGGAACATTTTATGACTGAGCAATTCCAAAAATTGATTGAAATGCTCTTTGGCATTCGGTTTGTGGCCATTGAAGTAAGTTTCTTTCAATTTCAATCCCATTTCCTTGAGGTTCATATAATTGTGGCTTGTTTTAACTTTATCCGGTAGAAGATTTACGAAATCACTGACCTCATCAATGAGAAAGGGATATTTCTTTAACAAACTGGTATAGAGCAAACCCTCCAAAGATGTAGTGCCCACAATAAATGGTATTTTATTGCCCCAAGATGTTTCGACAAGTTCTTCATAAGGTTTAGTTGCAATGCAATCCGGTGTATCATAGGGTTCCACCACAGGCATATAGTTAAGAGTCTCCCAATTAAATAAATCATCTTTGGTTAAAACATTCAAATCGGCCACAACTAAATCTTTGGGATATTTTTTGTTAAAGAATTCATAGATTTCCTTATCATTTTGGGGACCTTTGTAGCCAAGATGTAGGGCATTTTTATAAGCCAAATTACGATTGGTGGTGTAAGCCCATTTGCAATACACAGAACCGGATTGCAATATGACTTTGTGGAAAAGACCCCTAGTCTGTTCGGTTAGAGTTAACATATGGGCCGATGAAGCACCAGCACTTTGACCAAAAATGGTAATATTATTGGGATCTCCATTGAAACTGTGAATATTTTCTTTAATCCATTTCAGGGCTAATACTTGATCTTTGATGCCAGCATTTCCGGGTATATTAAGATTCGGATCGTCAAAGCTTAAAAATCCTGTAAGAAAAAAAAACATAACACAAAATGAGAATAATGTCTGATGAAGTGGTGGTTCGTATTGCTTACCAAAAATCCCCAGTCTATAGTTGAATGTAACCAGAATCACATCTTTGCTCATAAAATAATCGGGAGAATAATAAGTTCGGGTAGCTTCGCCAAAATGAAAACCTCCACCATAAATCCAAACCATTACTGGCAGGGGTTTCTCGCTCTTTAACTGAAAATAGAATATTTTAGGGGAATGGGTTTCTTTTGGGTGTCTATAATAACTCGCAACTTATTTCTAGTCGTTCATAATATTCCCTTATGAATATCAATAAAGAATCTCTGTTGGATATTCTCATTCAGATATATACTTACCTTTTCCGTGTATACATTCAAATACAAACAATCTTCAGATCCCTGCACACTTTTGGTCACATAATCATATTGTATAGGTTTTGATCGGCACCTGGTACAATCCAGTAATTCCTTCCATGGTTCTGGTGGTTTTGGTGCCCGAAATCTTAACTCGCCCAATGGAGGCTGGGCAAATGGTATACCCTCAAATGAATAATATTGGCCATATTCGTGGTACAAATTGTTAAATTTGCAACCTCTTATTGGGCCGTATGACGTCTGAATAATTTCATATTCTTTTGTTGCTAGTTGATATTGTTCGAATTGATGTTTTAGAAATCTACAACGAAGAAAAAAATTCATATATTAACACTTGATCTTTGAGAAATTCAAATGTTTCGCGTACTTTCCAAGAAGTTTCAACTTTTGAATTAAACCAAGATTTAATTCCATTTTAAGCGAACGAGCGATAAACAAAACAAACACGTCTAATAACCACCAGTCAACTGAAACATAGAGAAGCTTTCTAATACGATGGACCAGCAGAATGTTGACTGCGACATCTTCTGCTGTTTTGAGATTCTAAAAAAGCTGCCCTTCAAATAAAACCGCTATCACTAGAAGCTATATTTCTCTGCTCCTAACATATATTTTATTTAAATTGTGACTTTTAATTCATTGATTATTTATTTAAATTTTAGTCTAGAGTTACGAAAAGGTTGTGTTTTGTGTTTCGGTTTGTTGTGTCTCATTAACATAACAAGTTTCCCTGCGTTGTAAATTCCGTAAACACAACCGAGTTGCACCCTCTATTCTATGACGTAGTGGATGTTTGAGACAAAATGTTGTTACGATCAGTGATCTCATAAACTGGTTACCATGGTTGGATAGGTTTTTTTCACAAGATTCATTGTATTTTCTTCGGAGATTGTCAGAAATTATGCATATTCTTTTAATATTTTGAAATATGGTTTGAAATAGTAAAGATAATTGAAACAAGTATAAGTATTGTTTTATTCGGCAATGGCAAACCTTATATTAGCTCCATTAGTCGGAAAACTAATTAATATGCATTTAAAACTGAAAGTGAAAACCGGTCATTTCATTAATTTGTACTAATGGCAAAATGTTTGTTTTTGCTTTTTTCGATTTCATACCAAATCTATATATAACGGTAAAATAATATAATAAACCAGATTAGATAAAAAATCAGTTGGCAGTATAGTCGGACGGTGCAGATCATATTATACCCTACATAACTACCACGGAAAGCTAACATTATGCGGATCTATATTTGGCCTCTTTTGAGCTATTAGAGATCAATAGCTTCTCTTTCTTATCCAGGCATATTTTCCGAATCTCGTTTTCCCGGAGTGAACATTTAAGGCTTAGCATGTAAATTTTGTACATTTACATTGAAAGGTCTTGGTCGATTTGACCTGCTGAATTTTTGGCCAAACAAAGTATATATATGAGCTATATGTAAATCTGAACCGATTTGAAGAAAACTTGTCACACGTAAGGTTTTACTAACTTCAATACATTTTACACAATTGTGTGCCAATCGGCCAATCTTTGGGTCTTTACTACACAATTTACAATAAATCGGACGAAAATATATATGGGAGCTATATCTAAATTTGAACCAATTTCCTTGAAAATTAGCCCTCATCATTCTATACTCAATTCAGTAATCTATGCCAGATTTCGTGCAAATCGAAGGACATATAAGGACTTTTGTGCACCATTTACATAAAATCAGGCGAAAATATATATGGTAGGGTATATCTCGATTCTATACATAATACGCTGTATCACAGTGTGGTGAAGGGTATTAACAGATACATTTTTATACCATTACAACCCCTTAGTATCATCCGATTATCACCAAAAATTATAGTGGTCGTACTTGACTATAACCTGAACTTCATTAATTTTTCTCACAAAAGATTTGACCCGCTAAATATTGACCTTTGTAAAAAGGTTTTGCTTATTTTATGTAAAATGGCTCTGTGTAAAATTTCGTGATTTTCGGGTCGTAATTGTGGCATCTAGAGCGACCAGAAAAACACACAAATACAAAGTCCGTAGTCCATTTCATCCCCTAAATAAAAACCGATAATTACCAAAAACTTTAGGCGTTTTCTTTGGCTTCAGCAAAATTGGCCGACTTCGAATTCTTAACTAGGTTTAAAAAGCTAGTTTTTTGTTATTATAAAATATAAGAATGTTTTTAAAGGATTCGTATAGGTATCCCAAATATATATATTCTATTCATAGAAGATTAAAACAAGTAATTTCAAAAATATGTTGGAAATTACAATATTTTTTAATCTATATTTTTAAATAAACATTAAAGAAATTTTGTGCAAGCCCACGAGGTATATCTGTTAACCGGATTTTTACATTTTAAAAGGTAGTCACTTCTATAGATACACATATTTACAATAGGACACTCATGAATACATGTGTACTATGGTACATATCTACACACACACACATACAAGTGTCATATCATCACATGTAAAGTAAGTAAATAGCCCAGTTTTGTGGGGCAGTGGACTGTAGCAGTTATGTTTGTATTTAACATTCATTGTTGGCGAGTTTGTTGCCGTTCTGTGGTTTTTGCAAGCAGCCGCCAATGATAAACCAATTGTTGGACAGAGAAAGTGTTCGGGTGTGCGAGTGTGTGTGTTTATATGTGTGCATGTGTTCCTCTCTGCCAACCAGACAAATCCTAAAAAGCTAAGGACACCAGCATTGGCAATGACAACAGAAAAGACGTGAAATGAATGAAACAAAGACCAGCGATGTAGGTAGACAATGAGACGATTTGCTAATGTTGTTGGTGTCCGATATTTGTTTTTGTTTTTTTTTTCTGGCCAAATTTGCATTTTGTTACGTTCGGGCAGTAGTAGATATTGGTGATGTTGTTGATACTGGTGTCGGTGTTGTTAATGCTTTCATTGTTGCTGTCTGTAATGATGACCAACCAACCAAACGTCAACCACCCATGTCCAGCCATTTGTGTTAAATGTTAGCCACCGAAGTTTTAGGCCATGCTTGTTGTTTTGCTTTCACAAAACAAGCAATTGTGGCTTTGGATTTCGTATAATTTCAGAGCAATTAGATCTTATGTCAATTTAGTAATAGTCAATGCAAATTACACAAACACATACACAACCACAAAATAGCATGCTGGGCAATTTGCGTCTATTGCCTTCAATGTATTGATAGTGTCGTAAATTTTTAGTTCATTTTAGGCAATGTGTCTTTATTGGCAGTTTTATAGTTATTCGATAACCAAACTATTGTTAAAATATTATATACATTTTATTTAACTATTTTGTACATTTTTATATTTCAAATAAAATGACAAATTTGTCTATCCCATTAATTAAAATTGCATTTTGTCATTGTGTCAACGTGTCAGAGTCAATTGAGAACAAAAAAATGAACCGAGTTGAAACGCAACTATTAACAATATTTCACAATTTAATTTGCTGCGGTTTTGGTGCGTTGTCAATAAATTACACGGAACTTTGTCTGCCTGCATTACGTCCATAGTTTGCTCCACTATTGCCACTCCAAGATTGCATTGCAACGGAACAAAACTCGGCAGCCAGACGATCATTGACACACCAAAATGGAGACTCTCTTTCTCGAGTATTTGCTGGAAACAAATAAATAATGCCACGAAAAAAGAATAAGTAGGAACTTCGTTTAATAAGTTTCAAGTGTCTTGGCAAATCGATTTTTCTAGTGGCAAAAAAATTGTGAATGTGTGTGGTAAACTTTACGAAAATTCAAGTCATAAAAGAGAAAAACTATAATAATGGGTGGTAATTATAGGCAACACATTAAATTGGGATGATAGGTATTTTAAAATCATATAGGATCCAGAATTTTTTGCAGGACCAGTGTGGGGGCAGTATAGTTGGACGAGGCTGACCACACTACCATCAAAATCTAACATTCTGCGGTTCTATATTCTGAGCCTGGAGTTATTTCGCTATATTTGTACACTCTTGACCGAATATAGTTCAACAACTCCACTTTCTAGCCCTGGCATATTTCCAAATCTTGTTTCCCCTAAGTGTATATTTACGCCATAAAAAATTGATTACTTTAGGTTTTTTTTTGCCAGATCCCTTCATTGTGTAAATATGTGATGTTCTGCATATAATAATGGTCACTAGAGTGATGTTCTGCATATAATAATGGTCACTAGAGTTACTAGAAAATCTGACAAACCCCCCAAAAACTGTAAGCGCCGTTCTTGACCATAACCGGAACTTCATGTACAATTTCAAAGCGATCTGCGCGACATTTTCAATCTCTGGTGTAATTTTTCACACAAAGGTCTGACCCGCTTTATATTGACCGATCTTCATCAAAGCAGTCTTGCTTTTTCTTTGGCTAGATATCCTTCCTGGCTTCTAGAGAGACCAGAAAACAGACAAAACAAGGTTTTTTTTGTCCATTTCATCCTCTAAATATTAACTAAAAACAATAGGGATCTTCTTTGGCTAAGACCGGTCCTACATGCAAAAATTCGTGACGATGGGTCCATAACTGTGGCCTGTATCGTATTTACAAATTATAATGGACAGACGGACGGAGGCACATGTCTAGATTGACTCAGCTAGTCCAATAGTTCGCGGCGCTACAAAATCTTGGTGCTGCACAAAATTTGAAAAACGAAGCATGACAATGCGATCTCTTCCACATCGAATTGTCAAACGCAATATAACGTCTATAATATATTGTAGATTATATACATTGAATTAAAATTAAGTGGTTATTTATACTCTTTCGAGTCGAGCTTGATGATCTAAGGACTGTTCCTAGAATGAAGACAAATGTCGAACTTTGACAAATTTGAATTTAATTCGCATATGCAAGTTTCGCATCAGGGCGGAATAAATACAAGTTATCAACGTACGACATTTGTAAAGCCAACATAGCCCAATATGCCTGATGAGCCGCTTAACCAACGGCGAAACGCGTCGCATAATGGTGGGTACGTAGGTTCTTCTCCTGGCTTTCCTTTTCATTGCAAAATTTAGATCATCAAGCTCCACTCGAAAGAGTATAAATAACCACTTAAAATTACTTTCAAATGATCACTGCCCTTACAAGGCAAAATTCAAATAACAAAAACAAATGAATTAAAATTAATATATTTTTATTCCAATTAGCATTTTCCATCATTTCAAAATATTAGGGTATGAAGAATATACAAACAAATATTGTTACAATAATAGGACAATATACATGCTTACACACACACACACACAAAATAGGTGCATTACTTAAAAGGATACTGGGGGCATTTTCATCATCATCCTCGTCGTCATACGTTCCGCATTTTTCCAACTCCAGCAAACCAAGAAAGGAAATGCCTCTGTGGCGGTTTCTTTGAGTGCCAGGGAGTGTGTGTGCGTTTGTGT